AATCAGCAACGAAGCCGGCTGGATGCCCGCCAACAGTTCCGCGACAGTGTGCAATCCAGCGCGAGCTCGAATCCTAGTTCGCCTCAACTGCCAGATTTCAACATACCAGGTCGTGGTAGTCCAACTAGCTCTCTAGCTACTGTAGGAACTACAGCCGTACCTACTTCCTCATCCTCAACACCTGCAGCCACGCCTCTCCACCCGCCAACATCGCGTCGCACAACCGATCCCGCTCGTGTCACACTGCCACGTGCTTCAAACAGTAACACTCCACCAACAGCTTCACCCCCAATCTCTCGCTCCACCACAGACTTGACTGTTCCACTGCCTCGATCCAGGCAAACTTCGGCCGCTTCTTCAATTGCGCCCGTTTTCTACAACGAGCCCAACATTACATGCCAGCGCTGTAACAAGAGTGACATTCAGTATGAGTTACACTACAACTGTAGCCGCTGCGATGGAGGTGAGTATAGCATCTGCGTCCGCTGCTACCGCCTCGGCAAAGGCTGTAAGCATTGGTTTGGATTTGGCTGGACGGCATGGCCTCGTTATGAGCGAGAAGCACCCGAAGGAGGCTATCCACCCAACCACGAGCACCCTCACATCCTAATCGGGCGTCGATACCGACGGCCCATGACACCACTCACAGAATCCAGCACCCCACCGCACGTCCTAATGAGCGAAGACGATCCCAAGCAGCGAGTGGAACTCGGCGTCTTCTGCGAAAACTGCAAAGCCTACGCCAATGCCTGCTACTGGAAATGCGACTACTGCAACGAAGGCGACTGGGGCTACTGCAACGACTGCGTAAACCAAGGCCGCCACTGCACTCACCCCCTCGTCCCCGTCGCAAAGAAGGCTCGAGAACCGCAATCCTCAACCACCGACGCCACTCCCTCAACTCCCTCCACCCCCCGCCTAGAACCCTCACATCTAGCACCACCCTCCTCAGATACAGCAGAAACAACAACCCCTCTCGCCGCCCCCCTAACCCCCAAATCCGCCTCCCTCGCCCGCGGCCCAGGATACTTCACAATCGCAAACTCCATCTTCCGTCCGCTAACCTTCACCACGCTCTGCAACGTATGCCGCTACCCCATCGCCCCCTCCAACACACGCTTCCACTGCCTCAAATGCAACGCCGGCGACTACGACATCTGCACAAGCTGCTACCACAAACTCAGCGTCAGCGGCCGCATCCCCAAGGAAGACGGCGTATCCGGCTGGCGCAAGTGTCTGCGCTCCCACCGCATGTACGTGGTCGGGTTTGAGGATCGCGATGGCGCCCAGCGACGCATTGTGGTGAAGGATCTTGTGGGTGGTTATGCAATGAAAGAGGAGGATATGGCAAGGGTCATGCGTGTGCCGCCGGATGGAGGACTCGGATTGAGGTTATTGGCGCGCTGGGCGTATTGGCCCGATGACGGGGTCGATGATGAGTTGGCGTTTCCACGCGGAGCGGAGATTAGAGAGGCGGCGGATATTAATGGGGATTGGTACTGGGGCGTTTATTGTGGGGTGGGCAAGTTGTTTCCTGCTAATCATGTTGTGCCTGTTTAAGAAGGGGGATGTATTAGAGATTTGCTTTGAGCAAGAGGTTCGAGGAGAAGGATGCCTAGTGCACTAATTTGATTGTAGTTCAAATTCGAAATTTCATGATTGATTCTCTATTGATTTCATGTATTCATCTATTTTTATTTTTTATTTCGTTTCGTTTCGTTTCAGGATAACATAATCTCATGCTCCCTCGACTTTCACATCTTTCACCTCCCCTTCCCGCTCTCACTTTGCAAAATTCTTCTTCAGCCACGGCTCCAACTTGCCAATTACCTCGTTCGGCGTCTCATACGGCAACCAGTGCCCCGCCTCAATCAAGCCCGCGTTCTCCAGGTGCGGCAGCCACCCAGCCTGGATAGCACCGTGCATCATTTCCTGTCTGCAGACGGCATCTTCTGTGCCGCCAAAATACAGCGTGGGGACGGTGACTTTTTGTCGTTCCTGGGGGATCTGAGCGTCGCTCTCGGACTGGATGTTTTTGACCATGGCTTTGTACCAGCATGTGGGGGCCTCGAAGCCGTCGCGGCGCATGCGATCGACGAACGTCTTTTTGAGAGCGAGGTCCTGCGCAAAGGGACGGGGAGTCAGGTCGTACTTTGTTTTGCCCTCTAGGACGTCGCGCAGGACACCTCGTGTGCAGAACATGGTCTTCATGAGGTCGGCGTTGATATGCATGATGTCGTAGGTGAGGTCGAGATTGCGTTCGAGGATAGCGCTGCCGTCTGGGGCTGCGAAAACGTACCAGTAGCTCAACATTGCGTATCCGAGAAGCTTCTCCGTTAGGTCGTTGGTCGCCTCGAGGTTGTAGGGGGCGGGGTTCAATGGTGTGTACGGGACGGACATGTTTACCAGGCCGACGACGCGCTCAGGATAGTATTGGTATAGGCGCGAGGCAAACATCGAGCCCCAGTCGTGGCCAATGGAAATGCATTTTTGCGCGCCTTCGGCATCGAGAATCTCGATAATGTCTTTGGTCATGTGCTCGAACTTATATGCTGCGGGATCCGTGGGCTTGTCGGTTCCGTCGTAGCCAAGCATATCTGGGATGATAATGGGGTGGTTGAGCGACTTCACCCCGCTTGCAACTTGTTGCCACATGGTAGCGTGGTCGGGAAAGCCATGTTGGAAGAGGAGAGTTGGGAGTGAAGAGTCGCCAGCAGAGGTATAGTAGGTGTATGTGTAGCCTCGAGAGGTCTTGAGTGTTTTCTTATCGAAGCCATCCATGATGCGTTTTGTCTTTTGCAAAAAACTTCGTGTTGATGCAGGTTGATGAGTAACTCAAAGGTATGGAAACACGACATGGAGCCATTTTTATAGCTTAAACGCCAAGGTGGTTCTGGTCGTAGGACATACAGTTGAGGATAGAAGACCGCGCGGGGCAGCAAGCTGTATGGACAGACCCTAAACCACTAGTTTCCACTCATTGGAGCCCGCATCAGTACGGCCCTTCTTACGAAAACAATACTAGATCCCGAGGTTTCGCATTATGTGCCCTTTGCACTCAGCATTATTATTAATTGTATTCCGTCTTTTTTTCACCCGTTATCTGGGTCATCTGTTTGTAGGCGGCGATCGATGTGGCGTTTTACCGAGGCTTGTGGGTACGTACCGTATAATAGATGCAGCACCATGTAGAATCGCGGATCCACTCGTCTCCTTGGTAAACAAAAGCAGAAAGTAGAGCGTGCACTCGACAGGATATGTTCGGCCTCGTTACTCCAGCATACCGGTATTATGGTATACCGGCATCCATTTACAACAGTGCAAAGCCCTGCCCTAATATACGAGAAACACGGACCAGGCTTCACCTCTTACAGCGCGGGGTCACTAGATTTCGACTACGGAGCGCCCTATATAACGTTGCTGTGGATGGCGGTTTCAAAGTAGTCCCGTCAGGCTGTACTACGGTTGCAGCCTCGGTGAGCTCCTTGTATGTGATCCTTGGCCCTGGGCGGTGAGCTGCACGACATAGGAGCTTCTCCTGTTGACGCGACAATACCTTTGGGCGACCGCTACGAGGTTTGTCCTTTGTCGACTTGGTGCTGGAGTATTTCTTGCGCAGTTTCCGGATAGTCGCAGGATCGCGATTGAAGTGCGCTGCAACTTCAGCATTACTGCAGCCCTCGTTCAACATTTTGATTGCAATGTCCCGCTCTTCGACAGTCATGTTCTTGACAGGACGGACCTTTTTCGGCGTATCCTCGTCGGATTTTGCTATGGGCCTTGTGGTGGGCATTGTGTGTAGATGTTCGATGTGTACGTGGTGGAGAGAAAGGCCCTGATGATGTAGGAAGGTGAAGGGCAATCGGGCCATCCCAAGGCGCGTTCACGTCGCACGACATCAGCAGACTCCATGAGCATTACATCACAATCACAACCTCATTATGGCTGGAACCCGAAGCTCCACGCGCCAAAAGGCGTCTGCAGCACCAAAGTATAATGAAGATCTATCATCATCTGCTGAAGAAGCACAATCGAAAGGCAGTACGACCAAGTCGACGCGTCGAAAGCGTACCCGCGAAGATGAAGACGACAACGACGTAGCAGATGCAAGCCAACCACCGCCCAAAAAAATTGCTCCCTCAAAATCCAAGGCATCCAAAGCGAGTACAACCAAGGAGAAAGCCCCAGCAAAAGCCCCCAAAGCCTCAGAACCCGCAACATCCAAATCAAAACCCGCACCACCACCCGAACCCACCTCACCCTCCAACCGCGACGCAAACGGCAACCAGGAAGTCTTCTGGCTCCTCAAAGCCGAGCCCCTCCCACGCTACGAAAACGGCATCAACGTCGCCTTCTCCATCTCCGACCTGCGCGCCTGCACATCGCCCGAGCCCTGGTCTGGAGTCCGCAACCCGCAAGCCCGCAACAACATGCAAGCGATGCGCAAAGGCGACCTAGGCTTCTTCTACCACTCCAACGCCAAGCCCTCAGGTGTCGTCGGCATCCTGCGCGTCGTGCAAGAAGCCTTCGTCGATGAGACGGCGTTTGACCCCAAGGATCCGTACCATGATGCCAAGTCGCAGCGTGATAATCCCAAGTGGTATTGTGTAGGCGTGGAGTTTGTGAAGGAGTTTGAAAGGGTTGTGGATTTGCATGAGATTAAGGGGTTTGCGGGGGGTGGGGGGCCGTTGAGGGATATGCAGCTTGTTACGAATTCAAGGTTGAGTGTTTGTAGGGTTAGGAAGGAGGAGTGGGAGTTTATTCTGGGGTTGGCGGAGGGGGGCAAGGGTGAAGAGAAGGATGTGGAGAAGAAGGCGTAGCGGGGCTGTTGGTCCCTTTACACTGCAAGAGGACGGACCGAGCCGCGAGTTGGGGTATTAGTACCGGATCTCATGTTTTCTAGGCTCTGTTCGTCGTATAATGGGTCTTCTGTATTCGGCATCTCCTACGTATCTATGTACAACATTCTACCACTACCCCGCGCCCGGTCACGCTACTTATTAATACTGCAACGCCCGGATTACCTCTGGGCTATTGAAAAACGCACATCGTTCCTGTAGCCTCTGCTGTGAGAATTCAATCGTCGCGTTCGCCGTCCCCAACGCACTGTTGCTTGGATGCGAGCCCCCAATTGTCCTTACATATGGTCCACCAGGTCGACTAAAAGCCTCGTCCCAGTTCAGCAACGTTGTCGATCCAGGGGTATCCAGTGCTGGCACGCCATGGCTGACATATGTGCTCCAAGACCGGCTCGCTCGCATGACAACCTCATAGTCGTAGGCGGTGGGATGGACAGTATAGCCCGAATCATTGTATACGTGCATACTATCGAAAATGTACGCAAACTCCGATGTATGGACTACGCCGAACCCAGAGATATTCGTGACCTGCTCGAGGATGGGATCAAGAATGGTCTGATTGAAGTTGTAAAAGTACACAGGGCCTTCGTACTTCTCCTCAATCGCTGATCCGAGGTGAAGCGACGGACATACCATTAGAATGTCACGGAAGATGCGAGCTGAGCGGTAGAATTCCTGTGTCAAGTTTGGGCTGGTCCCGAATTCTTCCACAGGGTACAGATCGAGCAGCTCGGTGAGCAATTCTTCTGACATACCTGGTAGATAACCATGGATAAAGTCGTACGTGTCTTTATCGGTTGCAATCGATGTGTTTGTGTAAACGTTGAGATCGCCTTCCATCCAGCCCGACATGAATGTCGCATTTCCAAAACGACCTTCTGCGATCAGCTGACTAGGGGGAGCTGGAAGAAAATCGCCGTCTACTTGAGGCAACCAGATATCACCAATATTGTGCGCGATGTCGCTCTGATACGTTGCCTCGGAGGCATTGAAAAGCGTCTCGGTGTCCAAGGCACGCAAGCACTCAATCGTTTCCGGTGCATCGAATTTGGTCGTATTGCATCCAACATAGTCGATGACGGCCGTCATTGCATCCCTGGAAAACGTGCCCGTAATACCTGGCTCAAGAGACTGTGATTGCGCAATGCCCTGCTGGAAAGGCAGTGGCTTTTCCCCACCATAAGCCAAAATATGCATGCCGATGGCCAGACCACCGGAAGACTGTCCGGCGATGGTAATCCTTTCCGGGTCCCCACCAAACGCAGCAATGTTGTCTCGAACCCACTCGATCGCAGCACGTTGATCACGCAGCCCAGCATTCATGCTCCCCTCTTCTTTGAGCGAGTCCGAGGTTGCGAAGCCAAAGAATCCCAGTCGGTAGTTCATGGCTACGTGCATAATGGGCGATCCGTTTTCTACTGACTGTTTGATCATGCCATCGGGAGCTGTTGTTGGTTCATTATTGCTTGCCCACCAGAAAGATCCGCCGTGTATCCATACAAGCACTGGTAGTGGTCCTTTGCCTTCTCGATCCTCGGCTTTGGGTCTCGCCACATTCAAGTTCAAACAGTTCTCAGACGTTTCAGTAATGTTGTCCAGTCCAAGAGGCGCAAAGAGCTGGCCCAGCGGCTGCGGGCAAGCAGGACCTGGTTTTGTAGCATCGATGACTTCGCCTGGGGCGTATTCGTAGGGAATCGGAGGCTTGAATCTGTTTTCGCCACTGGTATCTTTTGCATATGGAATACCCAGGAAGATTTCAATGTCGTTGCGTGCAATGCCCTGGACGTCGACGTCGGCATATGATCCACCAAGTCGTATACCTGCTACTGTTGCTGCGGCACCGATGCAGCCAGCTACTATTGTAAAGTGCATGTTGGTTTCTACCACGGCTTGGCTCCGTGGATTGCAAGAGGGTCAAGCTGCAGGATAATGGCAGTCCACCAAGCAGCCTAAAGCATTGTTATAGCCGCGCGGGGGGCTTAGAGGTAATGCTTGTGCTCGATAAACCAGATACCACTTCGACCGATTCTAGCCCGAAGCGGCAGGTGGATGCCGTGACGTGACAGAAGGGTGTTGAATCTGGAGCGGCATTAGTGTGCAGATCCACCCACGGCGATTATGAATGTAGCCACTCGTCTTGCCAGCACAAAATCGAGCTCACGGACAAAAAGCAATTCATGGCTGTGGGGCACGTTGCTGTGCAACGTGCTGGGCTGGCATGCCTCTGCCTTGTACCGACATGCAGATAACGTGTGTGGCGCCCCTGCTCTCGCCCCACTCACGCCCCAAAGGTAGCCTTACACAAGCCAAGCATAAAGCTACTCCAACTGCGCGTGGGTACCCCGCAACTTTCTGCCAACGTCCTCCTTCTCCGCGTTCGGAGCTTACGAAACAAATCTCTCATACCATTAAGATAAGGTTCCGGTATTTTATGCGATTCCATCCCGATTGGCTTGGTGGTAAGCATTACGCCTTTTGACTGTCATTGTCCGTGCTTGACACGCCATCTGGTGCTGGGGCGCCTCCAACACCCGTGCAGTGAGCGGTATAATGCTTTTTTGGGTAGCTTGAGTTGGTTGGAGCCAGCGCCATTTTTTGAGTAGTAGCCGGCTGGCTTCTTGAGTGGACGACGGGTTGAGCGGAAATAATAGCATTACAAATCGACTCAACAGAATGCTTTGTCCAGACAATAGCGGTCAAGAATGTTCGGACCCGGATTTCATATCTTATGGAGGCGCTGACGTGAGAGGTGTATTGCGTAACTTCTCCTTTTATCGTCTCCAGAACTCAATAATGAACCCGGCGACCTCCGGTACTCTGTCCCGCACTACACTATGTCCAGCATTTGGAACGACGAAAACACTATCGAAGCCAAAGTCTCGTAGCTCTTGTTCTGTACACAAATCGTCTTTCTCTCCCAACACCACAGTTGAGGGTACCTCAGTTGCCAACGCTTTCTCGAAACTCTGATGATTATCCACCACACCGCCGTCCCGGACGATAGCGACCACCGATGCCGTATGCCCGGGGTGATTGCGGGTTTGCCATTCACGTACAGCTTCGGCGACTACTTCTCCCCGTGCAACTCTTTCTTTCCAATCCGATGGGACGATTAGCTCTCCGCCCTCGAGCCAGGCCGTGACCCATTGCCGCGTGGCATCCTCGTCGCAGTCATGTTGGAAATGCTCTTGTTCAGCCGGTGTGAAAGAAGAACTCTTGACAAGCCCTGCAGGTGCAACCAACACATAGCTTTGGACACGCGAAGCCCGTGATGCGACATAGCCAACTGTCAATGATGCGCCAAAGGAAAAGCCTACAAGGTGTGCAGACGACCATTCCAGATGATCCAGTAGCGTGTCAATCAGCCCATGGAATAGGCCCGCCGCATGAGAAGCAACTGGGGTATCGCTCAGTCCATGGCCCCATAAATCAATCAATACAAAATGCGCCGAGGGAATAGATGCATGTAGCTTGCGAGCTAACGGAAGCATGCCTAAAGCGGGAGTCTGCACGCCGTGGATAAATAGCACACGCTCTGGCGATTTTGTGTCTGATTCTGGAGATGAGGATGGAGGTATTGAGTAGTACGCAGCTCTTGCATTGTTGGTGGTGAGATACCGGACCGGTGGGAGCAGGGTGCCGAAAGCAGACGTGAAAGATTCCTCAGCAGGAGCAGAGATTGGCGAGTTTGATAGTGGAGATTTGGCGCCTGGGCGTGGCAGAACGAGGTGATGGATAGGTGACGACATTGTCAGTGATAAGTTCCTGTCAGGATGCGGTGCTTGGCTTTATGTTGTTAGTCGAAGAATTTGGATGTTGACGGTAGGGCGTGATTAGCGGGGATCGCGACACGTGACAATGTCGAGTACCGCAAGGCGATGTGCGGAAGGTGCGAACAAACACACTGACGGCGATGTTTCCACAAGATTTGAGCAGTTCTATGCATTGGCGAGGGCATTGTATCTCGTCTTTTCTTTCCCTGTGTTACCTTGAGCTGCGTCTCCATATACCCCTTTTGGGATAACCAAACAACGCAATATAGCAATGCTACACAGGTAAACAAAATAGGAAAGCGAGATTCCGCTCCTGCCCAATAACATCAGTTCATGCCCTCGCTGATTGGTCGCGTAGCTAGCCTACCTAGCAAACTTTATTCGTGAAGCCCTGGCCATTTGTATTCGATCCTTACAACAGCAAGACCCTGGAAATCACGACGTAGCGACATATTCACCTCACACAAAGAACAAAGAACAAAGCACGACATGGCGCCGAACACAAGGAGGTTTTGCTCTCGGAAAGATACCCTTTTTGACAAGCGGCCCGCGCCGTTTATCTTACCAAGAAAAAAAAGGGAAAAAGTGAGATAGCCTCGGCTCAAGCGCATCCACATGCGGCTTGGAGATCTTGACAGACAATTTTCTCTAGTCTGTGCAAGCAGTACAAAGTCGACTACCACACTACACTCGAATCCACAGACACCAACTTTCTAATAAAAAGAGCAAGGGACAAGAGGTACAAAGAAAGATTGAGGAAAAAAATGGCAACCCAACGCCCCCTACACGCAAAACAAGCACCACCCTCTCAAATCCGCCTCATTTACCTAACATCCTACAACCTCGTCTTCGCCTCCCTCTGGGCCTCCATCTTCATCCGCGCAACATCCCACGCCCTAACCTCTTCCCGCATCGACCTCTTTCGTGCTACGGAACCTCACGCCCGCTGGATCCAAACAGCCTCGTTGATTGAAGTGCTGCATGCTGCTTTTGGTAACCTCCTTTTTTTTCCTCCTCCTTTCCCAATTCATTTTCTGGCTAGACCAAACTAAATTAAACCAAATCAACCCTCAATTCAGACTCAAGCGGACTCCAAAGCTAACAAGAAGGAATCAGGCCTTATTAAATCCCCCGTCAGCACTACTGCCCTGCAAGTCGTCACGCGCGTAATCCAAGTATGGATGGTATGGTTTTGTTTCCCCACCAGCACCGCATCGTCAAATGCCTACTTAGCACTCTTGCTAGCGTGGTCGACGGCAGATACCATTCGGTATTTGTATCTCGCGTTGAACATGCATGGTAGGGCACCAGGATGGCTCGTTTGGCTTAGGTACATTTTCCTCCCTTCTTTCCTTTGCTCAGTGAGTAGTTTGAGGGGGATGACGGGAGACTGACATGGGAGAACAGGTATACGATGTTCTACCCGCTGTATCCAGTGGGTATTGGAGCGGAGTGGTGGTTGTTGTACCGAGCTGCTGAGCCTGCGGCAAGCATTAACGGGTTGATTCCGCCGTTTTTCTACTTTTGTCTTGCGTTGTATGTTCCTGGTAAGTTGAGAGGTGTATCCAAGAGAAATTGGAGAAAGCTGTGGGTTGCTGACTTGTGATGTAGGTTCATATACAATGTACACATATATGATGAAGCAGAGGAGCAAGACGCTCAAGTCTGCGAAGAAAAGTGCTTGAAGCGCCTTTCTCTTTTCCGTGCTTTCCTAGAGCCAGACATGAGTTCGAAGGCAATTACACATGACGTCAGAAAACAGGCAGTATGCATCATGGTTGAACGCAGGCACATGCCCACGGAATTTTTGTACACGATATCAATACATAGGAGATGCATGCATACCCAACCAAAAGAACATAGAAAAGAGACCATCTTTCCCTTTTCTCCCCTCACCTATGCTTCCCACGAACTATGAATAATAATAAAAAACTGCATCATATTAAATATAGGAAACCTTTACTCCCATGCCGACGGTGCGCCGGACCTTGTCCCAAGCATTACGTATGATCCTCATTATCCTTTCTCGGAGGTCCCGTCTGCCGAAAGCAAGGCCAAATGCGAGCAGGAAGAGGAGGGTGCGGAAAAAAGCCATTGGATTTGCAGTCATGGAATGTGCAGTATTAGATATCAGGTTTTGGATATTGGCAAGCACGGTGGAGGCGCGATTGTAGAAACCCGGTGGAGGACTCATGGATTTCTTGGGTGGAGTGCGAGATGTTCGAGAAGATTGCGAAGAGACGGGTTGAGGGGTAGGTTGTGACTTGCGGAAACGTTCGTCTGAGCCTCGGGGTTGGCGGCGGTTTTCTTCCTCGCGTTTCCGGCGCTCGTCCTCTGCGCGAGACTGTTCAAGACGCCTTGCCTCAGTTTCTCTGCGGCGTTGCTCCATCTGTTCTTGTTGTTGTTGGCGCAGCTTCTCCTCCCTTGCCTCGGTGTCCTCCTTTTCTTCCTTGAGTGAGTGCAGAGCGAGCAGGAAAGCCTCCTTGCGCTCATCATCCAGGACCTCTGACATGCTGATGAACTCGCGGGCATAGTCCCACTCGTCGTTACGGGGCAGGACATGTAGCGTGTATAGTTCGAGCAGTTTGATGCGCTTTTCAAGGTCGCGCGGGGTGTCTGTGCCGGTATGCTGTCTGTGGTGACCGGGGCGCTTCTCTTGGTATGACGGCGAGGCCATGTGGGAGGCGATATCGAGTGTAGGCGTGGCAGATGCGGAGAGGTATGTCTCAAGCTTCTGCTGGTTGAGGCGCTGGGAGGGAGCATGTGTGAGTAGCAGTGTGGCTCTGCATGGTAGTTAGTATAGAAATCACATCCACGGCCTACTCTCGGCATACAGGTTCACAACAACATCGGCATCCACGTCACCCTCGACTCCAGCATAGCCATCGCGCACCACATCGTCCCAGATGCTACCGTCGCGGCACTTGGATACTAGCTGCTTCCAGCGGGTGCTGCCAAACGCATGCTTGCCCTCTTCGGCGCCCAGTTCGATGACGGCATTCAGGAAGGTGAGGTAGAAGCTCCAGACCTTGATCCGGGTGCCGCGAGACGCGGTTGCTACGGGCGCATGTCCTACAAGGTCGCCATTGGGGCCATTGGTGTCGTCTAAGGGCGGCGGGGTGATGATGGGCTCGATTGTGGAGAGGGCCTCTGGCAGGCGGCGCGTCAGGAACAGCTGGGCGGCCTGGCGGTAGGCTTTGGCGATTTGGGAGGCTTGTTGCCGCGATGCCGACAGCGACGAGATGGACGTAGACAGGTAGCGCGACCCGCTGACATCGTCGTAGAGAGTCGCCATGGTCCCTACAAGACGCGATACAAATGCTGGAGAGGAGTTCCGGACGGCGTTTACGGGCTCATAGCGGTGAAAGACGGGGGCGCGGCTCGGTGGTGTGCATTTCCACACTCCGCGTCGTCACAACATTCGACCTCGGCTTTCTCGCTGTCAGTCATGTCTTGGCGCGTCAACTGGCCGAGCAACCCTCTCCTCATTTCCGCACACCGACACGTGACAAGCAATATACTCATGCTTGCACTCTACGATACATGCCGTATCTGCAGACATTGTACTACCACCATGGCCGCAATGCGCAATCAACTCGCTTCGCAACTGTTTACTTGCTTGCCACAAGCTCTGAGTCACCGGCTGAGAAATGCCTGTTTGATCGCTCTTAGTCTCACAACTGCCTCCTGGTAGTAGCCTTGCCACTCACTTTCTACCAACAGCTGTCTCTTCGTCTTTACCACCCTCAACATTTACTGTCATCTACAAGCTTATATTATCGTCGCAAACTGCCCATGCTGCTTGACCGCAATCCCCATCATTCCCACAAATATGGACGTCGACGCAGCTACCTTCCCTCACCACCTCCTGTGGATGCTCATTAACATCGCCGAGGCGGATTTTGTCTCGTTCGACCTGGAACTCTCCGGTATCCCTTCCCGCATCCAGGATAAACCCCCGCGCGGCCCCGGACGTTTTACCATGGAGGAACGCTATGCCGAAACCAAGATGGGTGCCGATCGCTATCAGATCCTACAGGTAGGGGTTACGTGCGCAAGGTTCGACTATATAGCAAACAAGTACATCCTACGCCCATATAACATCGACATCAGCCCATTGCTGGATGAGCGCATCGACTTTGAGCGCGAGATCCGATTTCAAAGTGGTGCCTGCACCTTTTTGCTCAAGAATGGCTTTGATCTGGGCCTGCCCTTTGCCAACGGTGTGCAATATTTGTCGCGACAAGAGGCAGAGAAAGCAAAGCAGATGGCGTATGACCGTCTGGAGAAGAAGAACCCCGTACCTGACCTCCAGCTTAAGGAGGGAGATGTTGAGTCTCTTGACTTTATGCGCCGTGTCAGGGAGGCCATCAACAAATGGAAGACCACCACTTCGTCTGGTTTAGATATCACAACCCACACTGGGGTCCCTGACCGACCAAAAATACCAGCCATAACACGCTTTGAAAAACGGCTGGTTCATCAACTCGTACGTGCTGAATTTCCTGACCTAGTGACCATGGGTCGCTCAGAATGCGTTCGCATCATTCAGCTTGATCCCGTTCGCGAAGCGGAAAACATGCAACGAATGAAGAATCGCGTCGACGAGTCCATATTGCGTCAGACTGGCTTTCGTTGGATTTTTGAGGCTCTAGTCAAAGGTGGCAATCTCAACAGAACTGACCTGCTGTTCGTTGCTCGGACGACAGGTATGACTCCAACGACGGATACAAGTGATACACGCCCTCGTTTCGACAAGGCAATGGAAAGGCTGAAGACCAGAAAGCCGGTTCTCGTTGGTCATAACATGTTCACCGACATTGTATATCTCTACCGCACATTCGTTGGCGAGTTGCCTGTACGTCATGAGAAGTTCGATCCTTGTCAATACGTTATGCTAATGAAGGTGACCAGGACACGTTAGACGATTTCCAAGACGCTATACATGAGCTGTTCCCTAAAATAATCGACACCAAGTATCTGGCTACATTTGCCGAAGGCGATCTCAACGCGTCACCTACTTTACAGGACATTGCACAAGGTCTCAGCAACCAACCTTTGCCTGATATCATCACTCATGCCGATCACCCCAAGTACCAAGACATTGAGGCTTTCCACGAAGCGGGCTATGACAGCCTGCTAACTGCCACCATCATGATCAAATTAGCTGCTAGACTAGGTGTGGAAAGAGGGGAGAGGATACTCCCACCGCTTTTTCACAACTCGACCAATGGCGCGGACAGCCAGCCGGGCATTACTACCAATGAAAATGTACCCGATTTTGTCAAGGACGGCCGGGAAAAAGTGCAACAGCCAGTCCCGTTACCACCCGTCGAAAACCCAGAACTTAAGCAATCTAAGAAGCAGAGGAAAAAGAACAAACAGGCCAGCAAGAAAGCAGAGCAAACAAGATTCCAGACAAAAAATGTCTTTGATGCTCTTAGCGAAATATCACTCAACCCAGATACCGCGCCTCTATCGACCGATGATGAGGAAGCAGAGCCGACTGAACCAAAGAAAGAACACCGAAACGGAAAACAAGGCGACCAAACAAGCCAATCTTTCGAATCGTGGGAAAATGCAGAAGCCCCTGTGCAGAACACCACGAGTTTGACGCCCCTCGAGCAAGTCGAGCGCCAACCAATGGAACTCATCCCGCATTTCGATTCTAAATTCTGGGCCGAGTTTGGAAACACGCTTCGAGTCTTTGGCACTGAAGAGGCGGTCTGGAAAATTGCCACTTGGGAACCATGATTCGTCGGGATACTATCAACCCTCCATCATGAAAATGAGTCCCTTCAGCCGCTAAAAGCGGAAAAGTGTGGCGTGGGGGGACTCACTCTGTGTGGTGAGGGGGTGCTATGAACGTAAGTGGAATTTACTTATGTATATGTGTATGTACGTGGGCGTATGTAGCATAAGTGTTAGTATTCAGGCAATTCAGGCGAAGAAAAGCAATCAGACATGCACCGGAGATTAAAAGAGAGACGCATGCATGACGCATATGTACATGGTGCCGGTGAGACATGTGCTAGTCTGAATTCCTCAAGTCGCTGCCTTGTGTCTTTACTGGTTATTCTATGCACGACAACTCACCCCCTCGTATCCGGATGCGGAAAAGTAAAAGTGGCGTCCGGAGGTCAGAAAAGGTGGTGCTAATTAAGTGCCACTGCCCTTTCCACAAGCCGTACCGGACGATGCATACTGCATGTACATGTGCATGTGCATAGCAAGTCAAGTAAGCGCAGCTAATTTAACCGCATTAGGCATACCGCCACGTGGACTTTTTCTCTTTTCCCATGCAATGTCCATCAAGCCGTTACACCTATTCATACCCAAACGCAGGCGCGTATAGACTAGTGCGGGGGTTGTGAAGCGTATTGTCGTTAACTGGGTCCTCGGAGCATGCATGCCCGTTTCGCTTCCTGTGACACGGTACTTACAGAAAATACAGTGAGCACAGTCTGCTTCTTGCTATAATCCATTGATATCCCGTTCATGTCTGTCCCGAAGCATTGTGGTATGTATACCTATCGTGTTGTGACACGACAGCGTCCTGGTACATGAGTACTAGTAGTTGCTTCCAAGCCATCGACCCAATAATCTGGATGGGCGCGATTGCGGCATTTCTTGCTGCTTTAGAATGTACGCCAGGTAGTGAAGATGATTAGCTGAGCCTCCGAGGGACGTACGTGATCGTCCAATTAAGTGCGAGTACTTCGCGGTAGTAAGCACTGCTGCACACTGCTGCAGAAGATGTCGGGTGGACGTGGGGGGTCCCTTCGGCTCAGCAAGAGATCCTAACCGAGAGCAAAGTTTCGTCCCAACTACATCATTGGGTGCAGTCATCCCATCGGACGAGGAAGCAACTGCCAACATGATCCGCAGCCCTTCGACCGGAACCGTATCTTGTCGCTTGTAATTCGTAAATAGGTAGTTTCGTAGGGCTGTCCGATCCTAGTAACGCCGTTTTACTGGTTACACATCCACCTTGTGCGCCTGAAAACATCTTCGCCCACATCAGCTTTCCCACCATCTTCGCCTATGGCACCACCCCCGCGATCTCAGACTCGCTGCCTGTCCAGTTCCAAACAGCACATCTCCACACACACCCAACAGGGGGTACCCTAGCACCGCGATCCTGATGCTGTGGTTTTTGGGTTGCACAAACCTTCTGACCACCCCTTTACTGTACATTTTCCCTAAAGACAATTTGTTTTCCTGTCGCTCGGTGCATAGCGATTTACGTCCTAAGTGGCTGATAACTACTGTGCGTGATCAGGCTTGGCGACGCAGACGGGTTGTAGCGAAAGTTACAGCGAAACCATGCGCCTATGATATCAAGGAAGGAGGGCGGTATCTATCATTATTGGCGATTCGCTGGATGTACGGAGTCTTGCCCCGGCCCTGCATCTTTCCGCCGGGAAGTGTGTGTTGAAGAAAGATGTGTTAATATTTCGCTGTAGTCCTCCGGGGGTACGAAAAACGAAAACCTAGGAATGCAGTCTTGCTTCCACGGACAGGCTGCCCGCCTTGCCCGTTTTGTGTTGTTGTTTAGTTATAAAGATGGATTGAATCTTCGCTGCCACAACGGTGTGCTTCTTCGTTATCCTCTTTCCATCTCTTCCCACCAAAAAGATTATTTCGTCGGGACAGAGCATACAGCTGGCACAAATATACCTCATCATGCCCTTCATCGAAGATATGTCCCGGGCTTTGACAATTCATCCTTCATTGCCACAGGCTGGGGTTGATGACCGGACGTTATCATATCCTACACCCCCAGTAGAAGACACGAGATCGTGAGTCTATTTACACCATTTTCTTTTCTAGACGCCCTTCTGATATCGAGTTTCTCTTGTAGCACGGCAGTGGTCTGCTCTTGTACCCGCGACAATAATGGGAACATCGTGCACGCATGCACTGCTGCCTCCTACGTCCCTCAGGCTACGGTGGCACCTCAGCAGGACATCGCCGCCCACAATCAGGACTTGATGGAGATCGGGGCGCTGTTCGATAAGAAATGAACCTGGAAAGTGGCAATGATGACTGTTACCATGTGACTTAGCTCACTGAGTGGGCTTAGGATAAGGCGCTTAGGCGAAGTACGGAAATGACAAGCGATTTGGTTTCGTGAATCTTGCTGCTTAGCATTGTTAATATTGGAGTTTATGGGACCAAAGTGATCTTTCCTGACGTAATACTGAATCCGAAATACCTTTTCACCTGTTTGTTCTTGCAATGCCCAGGATCACCTAGAATCATCATCTTTGTGCAGGACCAGCGGCATCAGTAGCCGCAACAGGCTCCACATGCACATCCATGTTTTTGGTGAGTACCGCGCTCGACTCTTGTGTGTCACTTGACTCGCCCTCATCAGGCTGTGGAGTATTCTGATCTTGTGACAGGGGCTCGAAATGTGCGTTGGTAACTCTCTTGTTGTCGACGCGCCGTCTCCATGGCTTGTATAAGAGAACACTGAGGCCACCAAAGACGATGAATGTGCCGCATATTGCTCCGCCTACGTGATGTCAGTGCGATGGTACACATTGAGCAAAAACACTGTACACACCAACAATATCCCATGCATCGCCCAGCTTTTCTACACCGTCCCAGAACTTGCCTTGGGGCTCAGCAACATTGAGAATCAGGTTGAGGAACTGAACTGTTCCGATAATCGTCGCGACAATGACAGTGATGACAGTGAGGACAATGCTATAGTAGCAAATTGCTATCGGATCGCGTGCGAGTTGGGTACTCGTATATAGACTCATCATCAGTGCGCCGTCCGTCGTATCCAGTAGGCACATGCCTGCCGTGAACAGCAGCGGGAAGATCAGAATGAGCCATATTGACGTGCCTTTAGTTGCCTGAATTGAGCTAATACCCAAGATGGCAATTTCAGAAGATGTGTCGAAGCCCAGCCCAAAGAGTACCCCAAGAGGATACATCTTCCATGGCTGGTCGACTAGCTTGAACAGCTTTTGTAAGAGCGGGAATAAGCATCCACCACCCTGAATTTTGAACTCCTCATGTTCGCCTCCGGGATCGCTGGCGATCATCTTGCGCATCTGAACAATGAGCTTATAAAGAATGTACATGTTCATGATGCCAAGTAGGAGTAGGAAAGCTGCGGATACGGACGTCCCGATGACACCGCCGATACGCTCGAAATTGTCAAACTTATCTGAAACAGCAGCAGCAGTACCGGCAACGACGAGAGATGTGGCTATTACTACCGTCGAGTGTCCAAGACTGAAGAACATGCCTACTGTGACTGGTCGTTGGTCCGCAGCTATTAGGCGACGAGTCATGAGATCGATAGCCGAGATGTGGTCTGCATCCAGGGCATGGCGCAGGCCCAGGGTATATGAAAGTATGGCTGTCGAGATGAGCGGCGTGTGCCAGTGCTTCTAGAAATTAGTACTTTTTGTTATTCACCTGTAAAAATATCTTCCACCTACCAAAACGATACCGACCGCTGCCCAAACAAGTAAGTTGACGAAAATGAGAGTCACAATGATGGCAATCGCGGGGAAGGGAAGCCGTCTGAGGTATGGAGTCTGTGAGTGGTATTCTGTAGCTTTCCTTGAGGCTTTGTGGAAGAAAGACGACTGGCTCTCTGGGTCCCCACTATCGCCGCCCACAACAGGCACGCCCTGTGAAGTCGTCATCGCTCTAGCCGTCAGTATTTAATTGAAAGCCGCAACTGGGCCTCAGGACGACCAAAGGAATGAAGCAGGCTTCTATGAGAGGGACGCAGAAAATTGGGGAAGAGAAGTGAGATGGCGTGCGGCTTCCGGAAGTGGTTCATTGGATGCAATGGCGCTAGTGAGTGGGGTTCATAGTTCTTATCATAGAAAGGCCGGGCCTCAGTAGTGGGGTAGCTTACCCATCATCACTCTTCTATACAATCACTTCAATGCACCAGCTAACATGAGTTTAATCAAACTGTTGTTGAGAAGATCTCTTTCCTTGCAGTTACCTCTGATAAGTCCTCGTATATTTACAATTTCCGGAAGCAGAGTGAAGCATTGGTGCCTCCAAACCCGAAACTGTTCGAGAGAGCGACATTGATCTTGTGTTGCTGAGCATCATTTGCTACATAATTGCAATCAAATTCAGAAGCCGGTTCTCCAGCCTCAATGAGGTTAAGGGTTGGTGGGAGGATGTTCTACAAGTTGTTAGCCTTTGTACCGCTGCAGCTCTACACTTAACCCACATGATGTATCCCCAGCACTGTGAAGATCGCTTCCACGCTACCAGCAGCGCCGAGCAAATGCCCGATTGCACCTTTCGTGCTGCTGATGTTGATCTCAGAGGCTGACGATTTTCCTTCTTCGCCTAGTAAAAGTGATTTGATCGCCCTGTTCTCAGCGACGTCACCTAGAGGTGTACTCGTGGCGTGAGCATTAATGTAATCGACAGCACCTGGCTTGATGCCAGCATGTCGCAATGCATTCTTCATAGCTAGGCGTGGGCCCTGTCCATCCTCGCGGGGTGCTGTCATGTGGTATGCATCGCTGGACAGTCCGTAACCAGCAACTTCAGCATAAATGCGTGCATTTCTTCTTTGCGCGTGCTCGAGCTCCTACACTCGTTAGATCAACACATGTCATGGTCCAGAAAGACGTACTTCAAGAACCACAACACCAGCTCCCTCTCCAATAACAAAGCCATCGCGTTGTTTGTCAAATGGACGACTTGACTCAGTAGGCCGGTCATTGAATGCAGTGGAAAGGCTTCTGGCTCTAGCGAAGCCTGAAATAGCGAGCGGATGGATACAAGATTCAGACCCGCCAGCGATCATGACATCTGCATCTCCAAATTGGATCAGGCGAGAGGCATCCCCAATGCTGTGCGCACCAGTTGTGCATGCTGTGGTTGCGGCGTGGTTCGGTCCCTTTAACAGAACGTTAGTGACATGACCGTAGCTCAACGTAAACAATTCACCTTGAAACCGTAGCGCATTGAGATGTGGCCAGCCGCGAGATTGATCAATAGCCGTGGTACGAACAGCGGCGAGACCTTCCGGTAGCCCTAGAAAGTTAGCTTTGTATGAGATAAGAAGGGATTCTTCACTTACACCTTTTTCGTATGCCACAGTAGTGTCGTATACATCGTCTAAGCTACCGATTCCAGAGCCCATGTAGACACCCTACGACTATGTAAGTAGAGCACATACGAACAGTACGGTACATTAGTACTGTGGCCTCAAGACCGTTCTCATTCTTTGGGTTCCATCCAGCATCCTGCAGAGCTTCTTCAGCGGCCACCATGGCATACTGGGCAAATTGTGCCATGCGACGCTCGTCCTGTTTTGTTGTCAGTGGCTGCTCGAGTAGTCTTGTGATAACTACACGGGACCTACAGTAGGGGTCAAATGCTCTTTCGGATTCCATTTCCCCTCATCTTTCGACCCCTGTGGTACTATGCCGGCTATTCGACTCGGAAGCAAGGCAAAATCTTGGCTGCGATCCTTGATAGAAACGATGCCGCAGTGTCCATCGACCAGGCGTTTCCATGTTTGGCGGACGCCTGCAAAAATTAGTGGAGAGCTTGAATGATGAATCAGGGCATACTACCTAACCCTAAAGGTGTCACAAGCCCTAAGCCTGTTACTACTACCCGTCGCATTGCATGTCAATATGGATGATGATTGATGTTACTAAGATGGCGATGTGATGGCAGCAAAAAGAGCTAAGCACAGAACACGAGCCATATGTGGTTTAGCGTCTGGTGCGGACTCATTCGCAAACGATGCACTCTTGAACAGCAACAGAGTTCAACCACGCCTGGTTTTGTACGAGGAAAGAATGAAACCAAGTCTCCGATAATCTATCTACCACAAGATCATAATCTGGTCATCTAGTTTGGCCTCTACCTCCTCAACATACCCTTCTCAAATTCATGTCTTAAGTTTTGATCTTTTTTCCTTTTGACTGGTATCATGCCTTGGGAATAGTCGGTTGAGAGCACTTCGCCATGGAATATTCTGCGAGCATGCGAACCTATTAAACGACATATCCCAATCCCGTGAAGTCAAGCGATCAAAAAGTTATCGTGGTTCAATGAACACATGGGGTTTTTTATTTTCAACCCAATTGAGGCCTACGTATTTGTCCCCGTCTTCACAAACTAAGTAGCGAGATATGTGATGCTGAATGGACAACGTACAGAGCATCAAATCCATTTTGCATATCACATCTTGGATACGGACTTTAATCACAATCCATCAACTACCAATAGGCAAGTTGAAATCGCAGCATGCCAAAAATCCGAGATCGCATGTAATAGTGAAGAAATCTCAGCCTCAAATTGCAACCGCGTAAGTCGAATAATATGAGGTAGTTTAGTACAGACCAAATGAGTCAGGGTCTCTGTTGCATGTGCATGAACAGATGGAATCACGTCATCGCCAAGACCTCAAAACCCTCGTTTAGCGGCAGATTGCGAGCATCAACACCAAAAGAATGACTCCCCGCAATGTGATTAATACGCCCCCACCTGCCTTGCAGGCCTTACACTCCTTGTTACACGACCCATGAGCACTACAGATATGGACGGTTCAAAATTGGATAACGGAACAGCCAGTGGGTCGCACAAGTATAGTAAGTCGTTTGCAAATACATTTTTATTGTCGCAAAAGTTGTAAGACGCAGCCTGAAGCACAGCGCATGTCACAGTGTTACGGAACAAGGATTCGACAACCTACGACTTGATCGCTTGCTGCTAGGTAACCGCAATGTCTAGTTCTACGGTTCCTTTGGTTGCAGTATTTCTTGACCCGAAAAAAACTCTAACATTTCTGTAGAAAGAGTGTCGTCACAGCCCGAAAACCCCTACGCTAAACTCATCCCCGACCAAACCATCGCTATAATTCCAGAATTCACCCTTGAATCCGGCGTCGTGCTACACAATGTCAATGTTGCATACAAGACTTATGGAACCCTAGCGCCCAGTGGAGATAATGCCATGGTCATATGTCATGCGTTAACAGGCAGCGCTGACGTAGGGGACTGGTGGGGACCATTGCTCGGAGGTCCTGGAAAGGCCTTCGATATCTCGCGGTTTTTCGTCGTGTGCATGAACAGTCTCGGAAGCCCATACGGCAGCGCCAGCCCAGTCACGGCCAAGGATGGGGATGTGTCATTGGGTCCTTACGGCCCCGAGTTCCCATTGACAACAGTACGCGATGATGTAAAGTAGGTTGAATAGCCCTTTACAGCTACTGATAAAGTTTACTAACCAGAACAGTATCTTCAAGCTTCTCTTGGACGACCTCGGTGTGAAGCAGATCGCTGCGGTAATCGGAGGCTCTATGGGCGGCATGCTTGTTCTCGAATTTGCATACTTTGGAAAAGACTATGTGAAGACGATAGTGGCAATTGCCACATCGGCCCGTTATAGTGCGTGGGGTATCAGCTGGGGTGAAGCGCAACGACAGAGCATCTACAGCGATCCCAAGTACGAGGATGGATACTATTCCTACGATGACCCTCCCTCCACTGGTCTTGGAGCGGCACGCATGTCCGCCCTGCTGACTTACAGGAGCCGCGACTCATTCGAATCGAGGTTTGGACGGAACACTCCTGATCTGTCTAAGAAACAGAATATCAATAATGTAGCACGCCCGACTACTCCGTCAAACCCCTCGTACGAGCACTGGGCGATACATAATGACGGACATAAGAATGCTGGTTCACCAAGGTCCTTGTCCAGAACAAATAGCAGTACCGCCATACTTGGCACTGCACAAGCACACACCGACCTTGAGTTTCACGATGCCTCAAATGCCGCTGCACAGTCACCCCAGAGACCAGACTCAACAAACAGTAATCAGCGATTTCCGCGTTCTTCGAAATCTGTAGCGCCACACTACTTTTCTGCACAGTCTTATCTGCGCTACCAGGGTGAAAAGTTCATCAAACGATTTGATGCCAACTGTTACATCGCCATCACCAGGAAACTGGATACACACGATATTTCCCGCTACCGGTACCCTGATGGAGAGACACCCGAAACCATGGACCCCGTGTCGGCCCTCCATCATGCGCTGTCTTTGATTGAGCAACCCACACTTGTGCTCGGTATCCAGTCAGACGGTCTTTTTACCTTTGCTGAACAACAAGAATTAGCTGCGTATATCCCCAATGCATCGCTGAAAACCATCGATTCACCGGATGGGCATGACGCTTTCCTATTAGAATTCGAGCAGGTCAACAATCATCTGCTTGGGTTCCTGAATGCCGAGCTGCCAGAGATCATGAACAGGACGCCAACTTTGGACACAGCCACATCTGACACGGACATGGTCGCCACCAAAACTAGTACATTTGGTGAGGCAGAAGTCGACGATATCACAGCGTGGTAGGAAAAGCACAACCATGGAATTTTAGCGAGGCGTTATTTGTTTTGGGAGATTGGATTGCTGCATCGGTTGGCGTGCAGTTTTCGGTATATGCTTGAAAGAAACCTGTATGACTATGACGCACTCTTCGTTTGATGAAGAGCCGAGGTTCAACCCCTCGTCAGATACCACCCGTTGCAAAAAAAGCATATAGAGCAACAACAATTGAAAAGAAATTCATATGATATAGCTGTATTATCTTTGGTTCACTCAAGGCGAGAGTATTGAATTCAGGCTTTCCCCGTGACGTGGTTAGCCTTCTCTGACTTCGCTTCTTAGTTTGCAATGCAAGGGTCTCAGCAACCTGGGGTCTCCGCAATAGTCATTTCGGACTCAACCGGTATCGGAGGTATCGCAAGGTATCAAAATCCCCATCAACTGGAACTTTCAAACTCTAGTTCCCTCATCAAAAGCCATTGAAAATGCGCTATTTAACAACTGCCAGTCCCGGAATGTTGGCATCGGCCAAATGAGTCCGATTTTCCACACTACCGCGCGGTCACGAGGCCTTCCGGATGTTGGGTACGGCAAAAGGAAAACACGTGGGATATGTGCCTTTTGCTTATCTTTTCTCCACTGCCGAGGCGGCAGATGGGCGTTAGTTCACTTTGCACCTGCGCCATCACAGTCAGCCCTGACGCGCCAAGCACGGGGGTATCTGCGCACGTTTCTTTGCCCCGCATGGGGGATTGTCAGATCCACGAGCCTGGTATGGAGTAACGCTAATAGAGCCTCTTGTGAGGAAGCGCGTCGGAGGGTTTGATAAAGTGAAGCTTATTCTAGTAAAGATAATAGCTTCTTCTTACTTTCGTCTTTTTCCCTTCTTCAAGTTCTGTTTCCTTTTTTTCCTTAAACGTACGAGTGCGAATTCAAAATGGAAGTCCCTACTACTCAAAAGGCGGCTGTCAAGCAAGGTGATGGCGACAAAACGACCATTGTGATCAAGGATGTCCCTGTCCCAGCCCCCTCGCCCGATGAAATCCTCGTCAGGATCAACTACACTGGATTATGCGCGACCGACAAATCTCTCTTATACGACGAATGGCCCATCAGGATGACCGAAGCCACAAACGGCATTTGCGGTCATGAAGGCGCAGGCACCGTCGTAGCCGTGGGCTCTAACGTCAAGGACCTCTGGCAAATTGGTAATCGCGCGGGTATCAAGTGGGTTGCATCTGTATGTGGCAGATGCGAATTTTGCACAAACGGACAAGACGAATGTGCTTGCCCCAAGCTGCAGAATAGTGGCTTCCATGTTGCGGGAACGTTCCAGGAATATTGTGTTGCAGATGGCCGATACGCGACCAAGCTTCCGGACGGTGTCAAAGACGAAGAAGCAGGACCAATCATGTGCGGCGGTGTGACGGCGTACGTGGCATGCAAGAGAAGCAATGTCCGTCCGGGACAATGGGTAGTGATTCCAGGCGCTGGAGGCGGTCTTGGCCACTTTGGCATTCAATACGCAAAGCATATGGGCATGCGTGTAATCGCTATTGATGGTGGTGACGCCAAGCGCGATCTTTGTCTCAAACTGGGTGCAGAGAAGTATATCGATTTTACAACATGCGCCGATATCACGTCCGAGGTTTTGAGAATCACGCAATACGGTGCTCATGGCATTCTTGTCTTTCCTGCAACAAATGCTGCGTACGAATCTGCGCCGCATCTGCTCAGACCTGGTGGTACAATGGTGTGCGTGGGATTGCCAAAGGATCCCAACTTTGTGGCGGGTGCATCACCGCTGCTGCTGTGCGCGAAGAAGTTGAATGTTGTAGGTAGTGTGACAGGGACACTGAAGGAGGTTGAAGAGGTATGTCTAATTTTGATTCAGAGTTTCGTGGACGGTTGGCGCTAACGTGTATTATAGGCTCTCGATTTTACGGCCCGGGGGCTTGTGCATCCTATCCTGACGTACGGAGGGCTCGAGGATATCGACAGGTTCTTTGCGGATATGGGCGCGGGAAAGCTTGCTGGACGAGCAGTTATAAAGGTTGCTTCATAGATTTCTGTTTCTGTATTCATAGATATGAAGCAAGAGCTGGTCGAGACAATTGCCTCTTTGTATTATGTAGATGACTAGCTGCGTATGCTCACTAGAAGGAGGATTTTAGCATCCGCTATTGCACCGAATGCAGTCTTTGAAGACGATAGGTGCGTGATTCGAAGTGCCTTTACTCTGAATAGATTGTTCTAAACGTATCCTCGGCGCATATAATTCGAAAACACTGAGTTGATGATACCGAAGCCTGCCCTCATTTTGACTTGGTTTGGAACAAGTCGAGAAATGACGCGCTCAATGCAAGTCCTGGCAACCAAACGCAACAGATAATCTTGTCATATCCTTCTTGTAATCTTCATTCCGTTGTGAAAAGTTCAGCAACTTCATCGATTGCTGGGGTCCATTCTATTCCATTCCATGCGTCTGGATTGCCTTGAAGAACGAACGATTGTGGTTGTTGCAGTATGTCTGACTGTATCGGCGACAGCGAAGTCTCCTGATGGATGGCGAGTCCAACACTGATTCGTCAATTCCTGACCGAGTCGCACCGCACAGTCTGAAAGCCTGTTTTCGGCATCGTTGGTCTTCCAGAATGACGTAGTCGAGGTCCAATCCGCTCCATTCCAGCGCCAGTCTCTACGTAAAGAGGACAGAAGGGAAAACAAAAATATATGAGGGGGTTTGTATAAGAATGAGGCAAGCCTGAGCATAGTTATACGCGGTGTTCCGGAACATGGGTTGAGAGGTTTTATCATAGAAGGAGAATCAGGGATGTCGAAGGTTGCAAGGCCGACAAAAACAACAAAAGGGATAAGCAAGGACGTCATAGCTTGGTTGGTTCTGGCAGGTTCAAACACCCGCCGATGTACATAGACCGATGGTTACACTACTGGGTTGGGTAAGAGTGAACTAACCTGATAACAATAGACAGCTGCTCGAGCCAATTATGTATCACGTTACGCGTAGCCCCCAATGTTGCAAACTGAACTGATTTCAATATCATGCTAAATATATGTACTAGTACTATGTCTCGCAAAGAAAGTGTTGATATTAAGGCAATCGTTGCCGAACTCCCGGAAATGCAAATCATGTTCCCCCAAACCTATAGGACCCTCCGTACTCCTAAATGATTGCCGCTACTTCTCCAGAAAATGCCGTAATGTCACGCAATCCCCAGATTCAAGGTATTGTGATAAACGTCACAATACTCAGACACTTCCTGCAACCTCCCCAAACCACTGCCTCAAAGCCCCAGCAAGTACACCCGGCAGTTCTCTCACATCTCTCACAACCAGGTAATACCTAAACGGGAACTGCTCCATATACTTGTGCCTCACGATCTTGCCTTCCGGCGTGAAAACGACTGATTCCAGGTCTAGGATAGAAGTCTTCGCTTGCTCCTTTACTGGCGCTGGCGGCTGCGCTGCGGGATCATCAGACGGCTGTAGTACAGATACAGAAGGAGCTGCGGCCGAGCTATCGATTATGATGAAGACAATCATGACGCGCTCTTCTTGGGCTTTGCGGATGAGTCGTTGGATCTCGGCGTGATTGTCACAGATACCATCACTGACGATGAGCATCAATTGCCAGAGGTCTTCGCCCGCAGAGCTACTGCCCTTCTGTCTGGCGTCTTTGAACAACTCCAGACTCTTGTCAACTAAGCCTCTTACGTTCGTCTTCTTCGCGTCAAAACCGAACTGCTCGAAAACTCGTACTCCAGCTTCGGACGTAAAAGGCTTGTCGAAATCATGGGCGACATTAACTTCATCACCGAAGCCAACAACGCTAACTTCACCAACTTCCAACATCGAAAGAGAGCGAGTGACAAGTGTAAGGGTTTTAAGCGCGAGATTGCTGGCTCCACTATCGGCCATACTGCCACTGTTGTCGAGCGCAATCATGACTTGGTAGCTTCTCTTGCTTGGCATGCTGCGTCGAAGCCAGATCTTGTCTCGTTTGTAGCCTGATGCGATATATGGAATGATACGCTTGAGGTTGAGGCGTTTGCCGGTTCTGAAGTCACCGCGAAGCTTGGTAGCAAGGGTTGGTGCAAGAATGAGACGGAGATGTTCGGTAAGCTGTTGAGACAGCGAGTGCGTTGACGCCTCATGAGCAAGCCAAAGGGCGCGAGCAGATGTTGGGTCCATGGAAGACGGATCAAGGTGTGTTAGGGATAGCTGAGTCTCGATGTTATCGGCAGAAGAAGTGGTTGATGCAACGTCGTCGTCGAGTGAGGTAGCATCGGCCATATCCTCATCATCGTGCTCAGGCAGTGGGCGTTGCTCTCCGACAAAGGCTTGCGGCTGGCCTTCCATGGCGTTGGACTGCGTTTGTTGTGCCTCCTGATCTTGACCCTGATCATCCTGCGGCTCGACATCCTCCATATCAACATCCTTGTCGGCTCCCGTCAGCTCATCATCGTCGTCTTCAGGCCGAATGGGCATCTTTTCCTCTTCCTCATTCATTGGCATTGCCATATCATGGTCCAAAGCCTTAGCCTGATCCTCGTTCGCGGTGCCCAGAGCTTGAGTATCAGCCTGTTGCTCCTCATCTCCAAGATGCTCAAAGTCCGCATCAGCCATGTCAATCTCTTTGTCAATCTGCTGTGTTTGAGTTTCGTCCTTTTCCTTGGCATCCTGGATCTGCTTTTGCTGATTGTACCACTTTTCCAATACATCACCCAGCTTCTTGAAAGACTGCTTCTCGCGAGTTTCTTCAGGTTGTTCGCCATGGCCACCGGCTTCTGGGGCTGTTGTCTCTCCAAGTTGGCCTTCTTCAGTCGTAGGTGCTTGTTGCTGCTCGGCAGAATCTCCTTCTTGGCCTTCATCTTGATTCGCAGCGCTAGCAGAAGCTTGTTCGTTTTTGTTCTTGTGTGCCTCTTCATTTGCTTCGATACCAGCGCCGGCCTCGGCATTCAAATCAGCCTGGTCAGTGTCTTTCTTGTCACGCTTTTCGTCTTCTGGAACGTTATCATCCGGTAGTGGAGCAGCGTCATCGTCAATTGGCTCGTCAACTTCCTCTTCTTGTTCGCCTTCAGGTTGTTCTTCATCTTCGATATGACCGGTTGTCTCCTTTTCTTCTTCCCCTTCCTGTTCAGGAAGAGCTTCTTCATCCATGGTATCAGGACGATCTGGCTCGACCTCAAGATTTGGTTGATCCTCAGGGAGATCATCGTCTATATCCATATCGCCAAGGTCGTCGTCGTGCTTGTCTTGGTCGTCCTGCCCATCCATATTAAGATCTTCAGGGAGGTCCAGTGTCTCCTCTTCCTTTGCATTTGGATCCATCTGCTCGGTCTCAGCAGCGCCAACGTTTTCTTCCTGGTCTTCACCTTCCATTTCCATCTCTTCATCCTCTTGACCATCTTTCTTTTCATCCTTCTCCTCATCTTCGCCGTCCTCGCCGCTCTTCTCCTTTTCTTTCTGATCAGAAGCAACCTGCTCGTTCTGATCCTCTGTACCCACATCGTCTTTGCCCTCTTTGTCTTTGGCGTCTTCTTCTTTACTGCCATCATCCCACATCTTCTCGTCGACAGCGCTAGGACCAAGATCATCAACACTGCCAACTTCGCTTTGCGCATCTTCGTCCCCTTCTTCACCGGACTCATCGCCCTTTTCTTCTTTTTCCTCAACCTGTTCGCTCTCGCCTTCCATTTCCTTGTCACCCATGTCAACGGCATCTTCTTGCTCCTCGATACTGCCCTCTCTTTCGCCTTTCTGTTCTTGCGCCAAGTCGTCCAAATCTTCGTCATCTTCAATGTCTTTGGAGATATCTTCAGCGCCTTCGCCCTCACCCAGACCGGTTCCAGACTCGAGCTTGTCATCTTTGCCCTTTTGATTGTCGTCAGACTTTTCCGAAGGCTGACAGAAGCCTTGCGTTCCAATCTGAATGAAAGACTTCGACAAACAATGCAGCAGATTTGCTGTCGATGCGTGCAATGCATCAAAGCGCTTCAAGACAGATTTGTGACATGCCTTATACTGCTCAAGAATCGGCCTGACAGAAGAGAGCAAAGCTGCCATAGATTTCAGATTGGCGTCCTCGTAGAGTAGTTGGATCTTGTCGAGTATCGACATTAGACTCTCGCTGATCTGCGGCGCATGTAGGGAATTGAGAGCAGCAGAAAGTGCTTGTTCTTCTTTGAGGAGCCAAGAAGCATCGTCCGTTGAAACGGGGATGGTCTGCATCGCGACTTCGATATCCTGCATCGATCCCAGAACAAGATTCAAAGAAGAGAATACTTCTTTTACATGAGCATCGAGAGTGGCGTGTGGGTTTTCCGGAAGTCGAGCAAGGTCCGTAGGAGGATAGCTGAACAAGAATGGCTCGATATGCCGAAGTATTGGTCTTATCATGTCGCTACCGGCATGCCATTCCTGGAAAGCGGTTCTGAGCTCCGCCAAGTGAGTATTGATAGAATTGCTCAAAGCTTCGTGTGATTCAGATTGAAGGTTAGGTGGTAGCTTTGGGAGTCGGTCACGCAAGTCTGCAAGCTCAGAAGTCCTGGCAGCCTTCTCTCGCATCTGGCGGATCGGACGGTCAATGTCGTTGGTCTTTCCAAGTTTTGCCTGCGCATTGACAATTTCTGTACCGGTTGTCAGCATAGCAGAGAGCCATCGCAGCTGAGTTTGGGTAAATGTGGCAGCTTCAAGATGTTCTTCGTGCACCCAAGCAATGTTTCCAAGATCCGGGTTGCTGAGCTCTGTAATCGTGGAAAGTGGAATACGGATCTGCTCAAGGGTTTGTGCAGCTCTGCTTAGTATCGTACGCTGTCTGAGAGATGCATGCAGCAAACCCTCCAAATAGCCAATGCTTCTTGCTACATCGTTCGGAGTCAGGTCGCCAGAATGCTCCCTGGTGACTGCACGGACTTGTGGCATGATGTTGAGAGCTTTGTGCAAATGGTACTCTGCTGCTCGTCCAATATCCTCGTCGCACCTGACTAGCGGCATCGTTGAAAGGATCGTCGAGAGCTCATCCTGCTTGACCAGTGTATCTACACTCAGATTAGAGTTGATACCCATTTGCCGCAGTTCCTTCATGGTGTCGGCATATAGTTTGCGTTTTTGTGTCTTAAGATGCTGAACAGATGCCTTATTCTCCTCGGTAAGGGTGGTTGGCGTGGCCTTCTGAAGCTCAACAATAGATGTCAAGAGCTCGCTAATGAACTCGTTAACATATGAAGCGCCATCCACAGAATCTGCCTTCGGTGTAGCAAGATTGCGCATCATGGACGTAGTGACGCCCAAGTTCTTGAAACGCGCTGGTCGCTCCATCCATCCTGGTACAACATTTTCGCAGACTTCAAGTGCTGCAGGGTTGACGGCTGTGCTGACTGCCATCAAGGAAACATCCTGCAAAGGGTGAGTTTCATCAGGGAAACCCGCCCTCGTGATGCTGGATACGGGTTGGCTAAGTACCGCCCTGAACTTGCGGACTAACTTGGTGAGTTTCCTGTGATTCGTTTTCGCGCTCTGCTTCAGCACCTCAATGTTCGTGTCTTTCCAGCTAGCAAGCTTGATCACGTCTGCAATCTGTTTTTCCAGGCTCTGTCGGCCTTTGGCGATCATTTCATGAACTGGCTTCTCGAGGCGTGAGTAGTAGGCGAGGAAATTGTCTAGCGATGTATACACAGTTCGGAACGCATCTACATCTTGCATACGTATAAATGCATGCTCACGAAGTTGTTGTAAGAGCTTGATGCGCTGTTCAAATTGGCCAAGGGTGGTTGTCTCAAAGAAACCCTCCAATGACTTGAGTAGTTCTTTGGCATGAACTTGAAGACTTTTGTCATCACTAGTGCTTTCCGAGGCAGCAATAATTGTTTCGTATGCCACGCAGAACCAACTCTTCGCGTCGCTCCGATACTTTTCTTCTTCCATGTCGAACAGTCGTGCCCAGGTAGTGAGCTCAAGTTGTCGCCAACTGACAAGTAGTTTGGTCAGATCATCGTACAGGCCAGCAGCACTGTACTCTTTACTAGCGACAGTTTGCCACTCGTGCATATAAGCATGGAGTTTCTCAGCTTTGGTAATGAACTTGGCCACGGGATCAACATGGCGGAACTCAAGAGCTTCGTCGCATGTGCGTAGAACGTCTGAGAGCGTGGCGTGCTCTGGCCACACATTGCGAATTTGACGATAACGAGACTGAATACGATGTATGAGCGCGATGAAACGCTTCGCCTCAAAAAGGTTGGAATCGAAGTAGAAGTTGTAATGTCTTCCTGCATGACTTGAAGACAAAGCATTGACCTTCTTGTCCAGAGCGAGGTAGATAGCCGGGAGTGCATCTTCGTGCTTACTATCGTAGCCTCTGCCATCTGAGATACGGTTGAGTTCAGCGGCACACCACTCTAGCAAGGCCCTTGTGGAGTCGGAAGCGTTTCTACCATTGACAAAAAGTTCGGAATGAATCTCAGCAAGTCGAATGGCATAATCTCGAGAATTCGATGGCAATGTAGGCTGCTTGTCGTGTGATTCTTGCTCCACGTCATAGTCGGGAAAGAGAGTTGGATCGTTGTCCTCTGTGTCATCGTCTAGCCCCCTGTACGTGTATAGGCTCGAATTCTTAGCTTCTTTCTCTTGATCTTGGAGAAGTTTGGTCTTCCAATCGCCGTACAAACTAGCGAACAGATCGTGCAGTAGATTCCTGGCTACGGGGAGAGCCAAGGTTTGAGGATCTGTGCTCTTGAGGAAGAGCATTGAGTGTAGAGTGTGCCACCTCAAGTCTACAACGTGGTTCGACTGACCCAAACCTGCCTCCATAGTTCGCAAGAGCGAATCCGGCTTTTCCAGAGGCTGCGACTGCCCAAAGAAAGGAGTTCTCGATGTGATATACGAAATACTGTTTCCAGTAGCACTGTGTGAGGTCCTCTCTTTTTCCATCTGGCCAAGTATGAGACCGATCTGGAGGCATACAAGGAACCCGACTACAGTGTCTGTGATGTCATCGTACGCTCGATATCCTTCGGTCAGGCGCTGCACAATGCGAATGAGATTCTGCTGCAGGGTTTGATCGCACGCAGCTTCTCCTATTGACATGGAATGATTAAGGAGAGGCTGTATAGTACTGAGCAGGTTTGTGAATTCGCCTTGGAGGCTGTCAAGCTCGGATACAGCAGGGCGGACAATTGCTGGTACTGGTGGTTCTTCGCCCATGTTTTTGATAGTCTCCTCAATCTGCCGGATGTAAAAGCTAGTAGCTTGGCCAGTGAAATCGACTTGGAATTGTCTCAAAGCACTCAACGAGGTCAACAGAGTGTCTTTCTCGATACTGAACATGTTTCGCTCGATCGTCGGTCGTAGAGCAGGATCATGTGGGTAATTAGGTACGTACAACCGGAGACCGAACAATCCCAGCTGTACCCAAGCAGTCGCGTCTACAGCAGAAGCAGAAGCTTTAAAGTAGGATTCTATACCGTGCTCCAGAGTTGACCGATATGTCTCATGAATGTTTGTGTCGGTGAACTCTATCCGGTTATGGTTTACAACTTGCAGGACTTCATTGGAATGAGATGCGATAAGCTTGTTGTGGATTTTGGTATAGAGATCCCTCAGGGCGTTGCTCTGGCCGTTCGTTATGCGATTCGCATCCAATGATATCTGCTGTGATAGCACTTGGAGTTCGATCTCAAAACGGTCAAGTTGTGCGAGCTTTACATCGTCTACTCCATAGAGTTTTCCAATCACTGATGTATGGAATCGGTTCTGGATTACCATCGCATTTGCTGTTTGGCGTGTAAGGCCCAGGTAGCGGTAAGATTTTGCAAATTGCCCCGATGCACCCTGAGAATCTCCAGAAATGCCGTGAGAGAATTTTGTCGGTCTACGGGCAAAGAGAGATGACTTGGCTCGTGTGGCTATAATAGCAGCTGTGGGAAGTATGCTTTGCACCGCAGACTCGTCTTGATATGCGACATCCAAGAACTGGCATAGACCTTCGAACTCTTCTTCAAAATAGGGTGTGATGAGCATACTGTCTTCTCCAATACCTTGCTCAAGCTCTTGGATTGCAGCATTGAGTGCTGTGACGAGCTCTCGAGCATCTGCTTGATCTCGTCGAACTAGGTCCAAGGAACTGGCGATACGTTCGCGTATCTGAATCATTTCATCTACGCGAAGAGTTGACTGCCACATAATAGCATCGAATCTATCAGCCAAAGCCTCTAGCTCAAGAATAGCTGCCAACTGTTGCTGATCCTTCGGTGTCGATGGCTTGAACACGCGCCAGATGCGTTCCATGCCCAATCCGGTTGTCAATTGGACATCGGCTCCAAAGACACCAACTTGCTTGGAGAGAGTTGAAGAGAGCGTCTGAATAAGAGGGGGTGATGAGTCGGACTTGGGAATCGCAGACGCTAACATCTTGAGATATGTCTGGAACGTTGCGCGATCGAAGGTTGGTGCGGTGGCAAGTTCATGGAAGGCCCAAAACATCCTCCTCAGCGGCTTTAAGAATGCGAGATCAACTTGCTGATCTTCTTGGAGTGTTCTCCAGATTCCATCGGTGAGTTTTATCAGCCCTTGGCAGTAAGCATGCAGAAAACCAGGCAGCTTCTGCTTTTCCTTTCGCCGTTCAAATCGCGCAGATGGTAGCTCTTGAACAGCTTTCTGCATGCTGTATAGATCAAGCATAACATCGTAAATTGATGCACTGGTCATGCTGAAGGCCTTGGATGCTTCTGTTTGGTTGACAAAGAGCTCGTTCAACAAAGGATGGAACGGAAGTAGTTGTACCAGTGTACTAGTCGCAAGTCGTCCTGATAACGGCTGTGAACGCGGTGTCCATGTACCTGCAAGGAATTGCACAAGATGTGAAACCTCATCTTCCAGTCGAGCTGTCGGCCTAGCAAGGTCCAATTGCATGTCGTTGTTGCTGGCAACACCATTCGTTTGACTTGATGCATTAGATACGAGTCCTTGTCGAACTTGGCTTGTGAAACTCTTGAGCAGTTCGTTATCTTGCACAGTCAAACCCTCGAAATGCTGCTGCAGGGTCATAGAGAGGTGGTCCTGGTGGTTTTGAAAGCCGCGGAAGCGATAGCTAGCAGAGTCGAGGGCGTATTGTACGACCGGTTCATGTGCTGCCTTCTTGTCTTGATCTGGCTCAAGTAGACATATCTCAACTGCTCTGTTGCGCATAGCTCTGGAGAGCTCGCCGTACTTTGGATCCATGGTCATGAAGATGCGAAAATTGGTATGTGGCAGCACGATGCGCGCCTCCCCGTCAGAAGTCGAATGTTCGTTTATAGAAAGATAGCCGTTCGGTTCCAGTAAAGAGTTCAGTCGATCGAGCACTGCACTTGAGCAGAGATTTGCGTTGTCAAGGACCAGCCATTTACCTTGCTCGAGTGCTCGAATGAGAATACCATCAACCCATTGGAAACGTGCGCCATCAATTTGCTCACTTGAAGCCTGAAGTGAGCTTTGTAAGTTTTGAGCCAGCGCAACTCCATCAACATCGATAGTTGAAAGTAGGTTGAGGATTAGGCGCAAATTTTCAGTAATACGTATGACAGAACCTGCTTGGATGAATTCCAAAAGTTCGATGTAGGCTGGCTGAGGCTGTTCAGAGACTGCAATGTGTCTCCGGACCATTGCTTCAACCTTCTGGAGGCATTGATGTACTTCTCGCATAGCGTCCACCTGCTCATATCCACCAACGAGATCCATCGCATCTACATCTGCATTCATGGAGAAAGTGACAAGGTCAGTGCCAACATAACTTGCTAGTTGGTTAATCATGGCAGTCTTGCCTGACCCCGGCGGACCAACAATGATGACTGGCCAGTTTTGCTTGACACTGACTACGAGAGCTTCCATGGGTCCCAGCTGAGAAACATGAAGTGGTGACACGGCATCTGAACGGGTGACCGCAACATCTCGAGGAAGCAGGCCAAGGCCTACTTGAATGTCTCTTTGACTCAAATTGTGGAAGAGGCTCATTCGAGAGTCATGGGCACCATATTGGCTTTCAAACAGCTTGAGTAGTCGAGTCCGGTCGTTTTCGGCTCGGAACCGCTGCACAAAGATAATGTCAAGGAAGTCTCGTGCTGACCCGGGAAAGTCAGTTCTAGCTAGGAGCTGAAGCCAGCGCAGCGTGTCTCGTAGATTGAATTCCCACGGGGCGCCAAGATTTCCAAAAGCCCGACGACTGACTACTTGCTCGTCCAACTCAGCCACGAAGCGGATTAGTTTGGTAACTTCCTGCTTTTCAATAGATGGGAAAATCTTTTCACAGATGAGGATCAGATCTTCTGGTCGGAAAACATCTGCGTATACCACTGTGAACCGGTTGACGAAAGAAGCTGGCAGACCTTTGCGGCCGCCACCTTGGTGATGAGGGTTCTGTGCTGCAAAGACCCTGAAATCTGGATGCTTGTGGAATGTTTGGTCCAACTCAGAGATGTATACCTCACCACGATGGTCAAGTACAGCATTAAGGCCTTCAAGTACCGACTGAGATGCCAGATTCATTTCATCAAGTAACACCCAATCGCCACTCTTCATAGCTTTGAGGAAAGGTGCATCGCGCCAGGCAAATGTTCCCGCAGCTCCGCCCTCTACAGGCACGTCTGAACCAAATAGATCCATCAAATCTGTCTGTTCAGACAGATTGAGTCTTGTCAATGGCTTGCCAATAGCTTTCGCAAGAGCGGTCACGAGCGTAGTTTTACCCACACCGGGATTGCCTTCCAGTAAGATTGGCTTCGGTAACTGGAGTGCGCGTACGACTCGCATCGCATTAGACTGTGTCGTTGGAGCTTCAAGCGCAAAGGTGGATGTTTGCGACGTTGCTAACGAGAACTTTGGAATAGAGAAGGCACCTAGTTGGAAGATTTCGTCCGTGTTCACGATATCGATAGGACCGTAGTACATGGGCGTGACGTCCCTTCCCAGTAGCTGGCTGAGATGATCGAGGCATGCTTTCTTTTCCACATTAATTGTTGATGCTGAGATTGCGAGAAGTCCTGCAGGATTGGCACCAAGGGTATCAATAAAAACCATCGCAGCGCCATGGACAATACCGAAAATCGGGTCATGATGAGCAGAGTTATTGACAAACGAAACCCATGCCAAAGCATCACGAATGGATATGGAGGATGCGACCGAGGTGTTGTACTTGTCGTTGAACCATTGCGAGAATGATACAATAACACTAGCATGATTCACAAGTTCCGGCTTCAGCTTTGATCGTACAATTTCCAGAATGTCATCAAGGTCAGACATTGCCGGCACCCAGATTTCAGTAAAGCGATTGCGAAGTGCCGGTGAAAGCTCTTTCTTGCCATAATCTCCACCTGGATTCATGGTTGCAAGGAATTGGAAGCCGTCGTTTGCTGTGATCAAGGAGTCTATAGGCCCTTTCTCGGCAAGTAGGATAGTGCGAGATGGCTCCAAAACACTGTTCAAGCGTTCAAGAACGGAATCATCAGCCAATGAAATCTCATCGAGAAGGAAGTAGTGACCTTGCTTCATTGCATGCACTAAGCTACCATCCGACCATTCGAATAATGCTCCGGCTTTGACTCGATGGACTTGTATATCGTTTCGAGTCTCGATCGGTATTGAATCAGGGTGACTCTTGACAACAGTGTCATACAGAGACAACAGGTCCTCGTATCCCATTGAGTATGGATCATGTTGGAGGCTTTCTCTGGGAACGTTGGAAAGGGTTTCCAACACTTTCTCCTTGACCGACTCTTCGATGGCTGCTCGATTCCGGATAGGTCGCTGCGCACCAATCAAGTCACCCGTCTCGGTGTTCTGATGAGCATTAACAACGTGAAGCTGGTTGTTGAACTGATCTGCAAGGAGCTGGCAGACTGTCGTCTTTCCACATCCTGTTTCTCCGATAAGCAAGACAGGCTCCTTGTTGCGAAGCGCATAAGCAACAAGAACAGACAGTCTGCGCATCGCACGAGTCCATACTACATTGCTGTTGGCAGTCGAAACTCCCTCGCCGAGGCCCTCAATATTTGACAGGCTATCCACACTGAATAGCTGGTCTTCGTCGATTGTCACTCTGGGGCCCCTCTCACTCATCACAGTCTCCAAAATCTTCTTGACTGCAACACGTTCTTCTTCTTTGCGGACGCGTTCAGCAAGGAGCATGTATCCGTTATTCGCAAGGTCTTGGATTGTGTCTGCTTTTCGTTGAGCCCATCTGAACAAGTCTCGAAGCGTTGCGAAACTCTTTTGCTCAAAGATGCGATTCTCTTGCCGGAGGGTAGATAGTTCTCGGTAAACTTTGACTATGCGTTTGCACCATGTCTCAGGGATCATGGTACGGCGATGCAAGATTTCAGTAAGCTCTTCCACGGGTATGTCGTCGAAATGCAATTCCAGAAAACGGTTACGGAAAGCGCGTGATAACACTTTACGTCCACCGTAAAGACCTGCTGGATTTTGCGTAGCAAACAACATGAAGTCTTCGTGGGGCCGAATGATTTCCTGTGTTTCTGGAATCAATAGCTCACGGTTGTCGTCAAGAAGACGATTGAGTGCCTCAAGAACATCCGTAGGCGCCAGATTGAGTTCGTCAAGCACGATCCAGTGACCCTCGCGCAAAGCTCGTACAAGGATGCCCTCCTGAAAGATGAGTTTACCATCGGCGCCAGAAATGTAGGAACCAAGATATTCCTGAAGGTCGGTATGTTCGTGATTGTTAATGCGAACAAACTTGTTGCCAGACCTTTTGGCCAAGTACTCGATCATACTTGTTTTGCCTGAAGAGGTAGGGCCTTGTATCAGTACCGGATACTTGCGTGTCGAGGCCGCTCGAATAAGATTGTTCATATTTCGCTGCACGAACGGTGTGATGATGTAATGCGATTGCTCTTCGACTTGATGTGCACCTTGACGAAGCCAGTAATGGCCCTGTTTCACATACCCTCGGCCATCTGACGGCTGCTGGAGTGGCTTGCCAAGTTCTGACTTCATTGATGCTTTCTGAGGGAACAAATACTTGGTAATGAGAGGGGCGACCAAATCCTCCGAAGCTTTGCCTAAGAACGTCAAGAAACTCATATGAAATCCTTCGTATAGCGCTCGTCGGATACTACATAGTGGCGAGATGTCTCGGGCGTATGACAGGGTTCGTGTTAGAGTTCGCAAACTGAAATGAGCTTTCTGGTCTGCACCATCCACAAGCATGTTTGCTTTGGCATGCCTCTGAATTTCAAGGTATAGACTGGTAACATCTCGCGCAACTCGGACAATTGCTGGGTCGGTGCCATCGCCACCTAGGTACTTCTCTACAATGTTGCGTAAACTCTTCTCGTCGCTGTCTGGACTCTCAACATATAGCTCGGTGAATCGCGACCGGATACCTGGAGGTAGGTCTTTCTTTCCTACGTCTGTTGCCGGGTTCATAGCCGCGAACACCCTGAAGTTCGGATGCGCGACTACTCGCTCAACATTGCCGGTCTCGGTCAAAAGAATGGACGGATTACCATCCGGGCCGCCGCCCAAGAGATCCGTCAGCGCCTCTAGAGTGTCTGAAGATGCCAAATTTATTTCATCGAGGAGTACCCAGTCGCCATTTCTCACTGCTTTTACGATGTTACCTTCCAGGAAAGAGAACGCGAATGCTTCCGAGCCACTAGCAAGCTGAGCCTCGAGATTTTGTAGATCAGCTGCGAACTTTTCCCATCTTGCAGTGGGGAAGTTCGCCGGCAAAGTGTCAGTCTTCCGCTTCTTCTTAGGCTGACCACCCTCAGGATCTGGGGATGAAGTGTGCGACTCGTGCTTTTTTCGGGCTGCATCAACCATCTTCAACGCCTCGCACCAAAGTGCACAAACGCGATTCCATTCGCCCTTTGCTACACGCTTACCCAGCATCTCCAGAAATCGCAAGTTCTTCTTTCTCGAGAAAGTGGTATCGAAAATCTCATCGAATTCATCTTTGAGTGGAATGACGAGACTGCGTACATTGACCGGTTTGAAACCACCGAGCAAGTCTCCGCTTTCACTTTGCTGAGACAAGTTGAATGCTACAAGCTTTCGGCCAAGCTGCTCTGCCAGATACTGGATGCATGTTGTCTTTCCAGTACCGGTCTCACCAACGAGAAGAAGTGGTTCTTGACGATCAACTGCTACAGCAATCTTTTCCAGTAAACGCAAGGTGTAGTCATTGGTGGAGAACGGTCGTCCTGTGCCTGTCTTTTTCGATGGTTTATGCTTAGATAATCTGGCACGACCAATTTGAATAGTACCAGAAGATGTTGTCTTCGATGGTAAATGCAGTTTTACCTCTCGGTTTCTCAATAAATGATTGCGTCGTTGTGGATCGATATGGAGCTCTTCGGCCACACAGTCCATTACCATCTGACGAGCTAATTCGCTACGTAAGCTTCCTGCAAAGCAATCAAAGGCCTCCATGAAGATGTCGTCTTTCTGCGCGTCGCTGAACGTGGCTTGTGCGAGAAGTATGGATATCCGATCGCACCACTTCAGAAGGTCTCTTGGAGTCAAGGCACGAAGTGAAGTTCCGTTCTCCGATGAGAATTTTGCGTCTGAATAGAGGTGGAGAAGTCGAGCATAGACCTGCATGATGCCGGGCAAATGCTTCTGTAGTATCGGGTACTTTTCGTATATTATGTGCCTGAACTCATCCAATTGGGGCATTCGAACTGTGATGCAGTTCCAAAATCGATGGCCTATCATGTTTTGGCGGGGCACAATCTCCTGACCTCGTATATTAAGAGTACTTCGCATCGTCGCAATAATACGGAATCCTCGCGCCGCTCGTATGGTTTCTCCTCGGCTAGGAATGAGTAGTTCGCCGCGCTCTATCAGCGGTAAAAGTGTACTAATGACCTCGTTTGGTGCTCGATCCAAGTCTTCAATAAAGATCCACCTCCCCTCTCGAACAGCTGTGGTCAGAACACCTGCCCGCCAGCTGAAAGTCCCCGGTTTTGTACCAGTAGTGTACATTCCGATCAAAAGCTTCGCATCGCTCTGCTCGTTGAGATGTAGGGTGACCATTTTTTCCAGCTTGTTCAACTGCCAGGCGAAGTGACGGGTAAGGAGTGTCTTTCCAGATCCGGCAAGGCCAGTGAGCAAAACCGGACTCGAATGAAGGAGACCATGGGCGATATCCTTTAGATTGGCTTCTGTGGTGACTGTGGATACAAGCTCAGAAGGCATTTCCTGGGAAGGATATCCATCTAACCGGGGTAAGAGGACGCCACTGACGTTGACCGTGTAAGGCGATAGTTCTTGATCTGTATATACAGAATCTTCCGTTGCGCTGTCGTCTTGGCGATTCATATTCAACTGCAAATCTTTCCATCTCTTCTCTTCCCATAGTGATAGGAACCGGTAATCGATTTGACGTCCTTCCCAGAGTCCGTCAATATCGCCTTCTCCCACTACTCTCTTGACCCTCTCTTGTGTCGCATAATCTGCTGCATGAACATACAAGCAAAATACCCGTACGGCCAAGTACCGTACAACTCGATCCTGGTGGCGAAATAGACTCTCCGCAGCACGTGGCCTTACATAGTGAGAGAAAGTCTTACAGTCGTAGCTGAGAAGTCGAAAAGTTCCAAGCAGCACTTCGACCAGATCTGAATCGCGCAAAGTGAGCGTCTGCGCTTCTGAAAACTTTGCATCCTGAGGGCCAATTATGGACGAATTCGAATTGTTGTCCAAAAAACGTTCCACGTGCTCGGCAAGGTGAGGCGCAAGTGCTAGGATTCGTCCAAAAGCCGCCACTTTGGCTTCAGTGTCGGCACCAGACTGGATCCAGCGCGCACACAGCTCTGTGAATAATAATCCACCATGTTGAACGAGAATATCGTCCGTCAAACCAGGCTTGAGCGCTTCCGTGGCAAGCGCAGTGATGTTTACCATTTTACCGGCATTGCATGATTTCGTTCTGTCCATATCTGTAGGGACTGTCGGGGCGCCTACCCATAGTTTTGACGCTTCAATAGGACAGAAAAGGTGGTGTTGAGCAAGCAGCACGCGTGTGTCTGGAAGTTCTCTAACTTTTTTGCGGGTCTCTGATCTCGCCAAGGCGCTAGCCCAATTCGTCGTAATCCGCTCCGCAAAATCTCATGATGGCGAGACGACTACAGTACGACGTTCACCTATCATCGATCCTTGCATTCCTCGGCAGCACACAATGGCAGCACCGGCATCCCGCGCGCTCAGGCGCTGTATCTGCACCGCTAAGCAGACCGCATATGTACGACCGACGATTGGAGCCACACAACAGAGGATACAGCGGAGATGGCAATCGGATGCGGCTGCGCCCACAAACCCCAAGATTGCGACCATTGTCGACCAGATTAGCCAATTGACTCTGTTGGAGACTGCGGACCTCGTGTCAACACTAAAGGTACGGAAAAGAGGCGAATGAGGCAGGGAATAGCAATGGAAGGGTGGTGTAACACAATAGCTCTTCTTCAAACTAACACAGGCGTTTGAAGAGGGGAAAATTATTGCATGAAAGAGACGGCCAGACTGTAAACAGCTGGAATTACCTGTCTAATTGCTCGCTTCAATGTCACAATTGTTGTATCACCGCACTGACACCACCCACAGACTCGCCTAAATATCCCTGACATGCCCATGGGAGGCTTCGTTGCTGGCCCAGGAAGTGCTGGACCTGCCGCTGCTGCTGCCCCCGCCGAGGAGGAGGAAGCCGCCCCCGCTGCCCAAGAAAAGACCCTTTTCAACCTCAAGCTTGAGAAGTTCGACCCAGCCGCGAAACCCAAGGTGATCAAGGAAGTCAAGGCCATGCTTGGTCTCAGTCTGGTCGACAGCAAGAAGTTTGTCGAGAGCGCGCCAAAGGTGATGAAGGAGGGTGTCCCCAAGGAGGAGGCAGAGAAGATTGTCGAGACGCTCAAGGCACTCGGCGCCACTGTTGTCCTAGAGTAGAAGAATACATCTGGAAGGACAAGATGATGGTTGGGGACAAGAGACGGCCACTGTATCATAGCATTGCACAACGGGCGTGTATAGATATGTCTGGAATGATCGTAGATGTATTTGGAATACTCAAAACTCCAATAACAATTGGGTGTCATGAGACAGCCCGTGGTATCTTTCCACCATAACGCCTGTACTATGCTGTGATGAAGTCCCGTATCTGACCCGTAAACGCCTTCCAGCCGCCCATCCAATTGTGCACCGCAGCTCCAATCCACGGAGGTTTTGTGCACTTACTCTTCAGTATCGTTTCCAGCAATGTGCCTCACTCTTTCAAATGGACCCTCCTCATCTCTGTCTGGATCTCACCCATATGCAATTACTTTCCTCCTCTCCTCCGCGTCTTCCCGCGCAGTGACATAATCATCCTCATTAACATCACTCGCCTCCTCCCACAGCTTCTCAAACTCTTCATAACCATCTCCCGGGACCGCCCAGATACTTTCTCTCAGTCTCTTATGCCGCTCCCTATCCTCCTCAATCCTCTGCTCAATCTGGCGCTTGTCCATGCGCTGCCCGCCATTCTTGCCAGCCCCAGCCGCGGGGCTATCTTTACCCTCGCCTCCAATATCCATAGCCATGAACGGATGCGCCACCTCTCTTGACTTGAGCACAGCTTCGAGTTCCTGCACCGTTTCTCGTAGGAGGATATTTAGGTTCTCTAGCGTCTTGAGGACTTTGCGCACAACACGGATGTTTGCGCCTTCTTCGCCTACGACGCACTCAACGACAGCGAGAATGTCACGCTGTAGCATGCGAACGTAGCCCATCGCACTACTGTCTCCCGCATTGTTTTCTTTGACCGCGTATTCGCAGAGACATTCGATGAAGAACATGATGTTTGCGCGTATATTCATGTTGTTTCGTTCCAGCTGTTCGAGAATACAGGAATGCAAGTCTTCGTCCATTTCGCGGTTTTTCAGCGCGTACAGAGCAGCTTTTTGAAGCGATGTGTGGGATGCGCTCAGGTGTGAGAGAAGCGTTGTGAAGCGTTGGCGGACTTCGAAGGGATCGGCCATGGTGGACGGGTTGTTTGACTGACGAGTACCCGAAGGCAAATCTAGTTGTCGGGTTTGTGAGTGGGATCCGGGGGGCGGTGTTGGCCGTAAATCAGCAGTAGGCCGATAAACTATCGTCTGATGTTTGTTGGAGTGGAGAGCTTCCGCAGCAACTACAACGCGCATATCGTCGGCTTGGTGGTCATAGCTTAAGGTGCATTTAACGTGGGGAAAAGTCGCCGATCTCGCGCTGAATCCCCAGTCAGCACTTCCTTTTGTATTCACTCAACACCACCCAAGAAACACTATCAAACAAGGGAATTCAAGATGGCGGACACTCAGGAATCCAAGCCTTTGACATTGACCGTTCTCGGTTCAGGTACGTTCCCATCCCACTATATTTATCTTTCTTCGCCCCGCATCACACTCATAAGATAAATGACTGGCCACACGCCTGTTTCAAGAAGTTGTAACGACAGTCTCACAACACCATACTCTTCTCGTTTTCTCTTGAGATTCTGCAGGAGCCTCCTATGCTTTTCAAAGAATAACTCTGCAATCACGAACCCTCAACACATCCACCTCACGACCAAAGACCAAAGACTAACCATCACCCCCAGGAACAATGGGCATAGCAATCATGGGTGGCGTAATGTCCTCCCTCGCCTCCGCCCGCACAAAAGCCACCATCGACCCCTCGTCTGCTCCAAAAGACGTCCCCAACCTCTCCAACTTCATCGCCTGCGACCAATGGGCCCCCGCCGAACAAAACGTCCGGAAAGCCCTCGGCCACTACAACTTCCCCCTGCAAACCCTCACAAACGAGAATCTCAAGGGCGTCCAACAAGCAGACATCGTCCTGCTAAGCTGCAAGCCTCACGGCTTCAAGACGATTCTCGGTGAGGAAGGCATGAGGGATGCGCTCAAGGGTAAAGTCCTGGTCAGCATATTGGCAGGCGTCACCCGCGAACAAATCGAAGCCTTCCTCTACCCGGATGGCCCTGAAAAAGCGGAAAACGCATGCAGAGTCGTACGCGTAATGCCCAACACGGCATCCTTCGTCGGCGAATCCATGTCTGTGATTCAGACTTCTGATCCGCCGCTCAGCGATGCACAGGCTAAGCTTGTGGAATTCGTATTTAGCTCCATTGGTCGCGTTACTACGCTGCCACCTGCAAACATGGATGTTGCAACTGCGCTATGTGGGTCTGGACCGGCTTTCTTTGCGTTGATGCTTGAGGCGGCGGCGGATGGTGCCGTGGCTATGGGGTTGCCGAGAGCGGAAGCACAGATGATGGCGGCACAGACTATGAGGGGAACCACGGGTTTGGTGCTGAACGGTGAGCATCCAGCTGTGCTCAAGGATAAGGTATCGACGCCAGGCGGCTGCACGATCGGCGGTCTGATGTCGCTCGAGGAAGACGGTGTTAGAGGCTCTGTTGCAAAGGCCATCCGGGAAGCCACTGTCGTAGCATCAAGACTGGGTGGTGAGCAAAAGGAATTTGTAAACCACAGGCGGTAGATACGTATGCAATCCCATAGACACACACATATAAGTTAGTAAATGATACCACGAACTACCAAAGCACAGCTTGCGAGTTTGTTTCTCTCTCGAGATGATTTTCATTATTCAGATTCTAAGAAAGGTGGCATGCCCACGCCTCATGACAGCATCGCATGCATCCTTTTAGTTTCTCACTCTCCTCGCCATAAGCAAGTGACAGAAAAAGGGTATAATACAAAAAGAAAGCAGAGTAGCCATCCCAGATCATCTCTCCCCCAATGACTTGATTAATACAATCCCCAGATCCGTCTCTCTTTCTCACTTCCTAGCATATGGCAGATGGCAACGCATCGAAGTGCGAGGCTATCGCCTTTCTCTTTCTCGCTCCATCATTTCTCGCTCTACATCGCCTTCGGTTCTTACGCCTCCGCGTCTGGCTTTGGCGTTTTTCCTTAGACCGGCGGTGAACAGGTTTGCAATGTTGTCATCGCCGATGGCACCGCTCTTGCGTCGCTTGTCGCGGTGGGAAGCGGGTCCGGTAGGAGGTTTGACATCGGCTTTTGGTCCTTTGGGGACAGAAGGTTCATCGTCGAGGTCGTCGCGGGAACGCTTGGTGGAGAGGGTAGGGCGGGAAGATGTGGAGGAGATGCGGGAGTGGAGAGATTTACTTGAGGGCTTTTCGACGCGGTCACGACTGTCACGCTCGCGAGCATTACGCTCCCTTTCAGCAGCGTAGTGGTCTTGTGTGGTTTCCTTTTCTTTTGCGGATGCTCCAGTCGGTGGTGTAGAAACAGAGCTTACGCTACTCCTTCGGCGGTGATCTCGAGAGTCGCTGCTGCGGTCCTTGTTGCGATCAGCAGCGGGACCTTTCGGGGGCTGGAATGCTCGAGGGCCGCTAGGTGGTTGTGTAGGGGGTGCCATGGCGTTCTTCGAACGACCTTTGATACTGAAGCCATTTGCCGATGGACCAGTAGGGGCGTTCAGAGGAGGCGAAACGACACGCTTCTTCATCATTTGGCCAACAACATCTTCTTCTTTCTCAGTTGCGGAAGGCCTCTCTTTTCGATCACGGTCATCATCGCGACGTTCGCGGTCACGGTCTTTACGGCTGCGGCGAGAGGAGCGGTACTTGTCGTCCTCGTAATCACGTTCTTCTTCTTCGGCGTCACGGTCACGGCGGCGGCGGCGTTCCTTGTCCTTGTCTCGTGAACGATCTTTCTCGCGGTCATAGTCATAGTCACGCTCGCGCTCTTTGCGATCCTTACGATCCCGCTCACGTTCCTTGTCGCGCGATCGGTCGCGTGATCGGTCACGATGCCTGTCTTTATCGCGACTCCTTTGCCTACGTCGCGAGTTGCCATCAGAGTCCTTTTCGCCGTTGAGATACGCATCATCATCGTCATACTTGTCCTCATTGCGAGGCGATCGAGAACGGTGGCGGCGTCGATGTTCTCTACTTCGCTCGCGATGTGACCGTGAGGAGCGGTGCTTATCCTTGTCACGACGGCTGCTGCGATACTTAGAGTCTGCTGAAGCGCTCCGCGTTCGGTCGCCACGGCTGCTCCTCTCGTCACGGTACCGATCATCCTGCTCCTGCTCACGGTCGTCGTAACGCGACGAACGGTGGTGCTTGCGCTCTTTGCGACTGTCGTGATCATCCTCTGACGGCGTCAGTGATCGAGCACGGCCGTCACGTCTAGAATGGCGATCCGCAGAACGTGATCGCTCACGATGCGCATCTCGGTCTTCGTCTCTCGCTCGAGATCGAGACCGGGACCGCGTAGGTGACCGCTCCTTGACGCGCATACTTTCATCTCGCAAAGGCGATTTGCTGTATGGTGGTTAGTCATGAAAGCCCAATGTTGGTTGAAAGATGACTTACGATCGAACCCTGCGCTGTGGACTAATCGGCGCAACTTCTTGAATAGATGCAACACTTTTAGGCGGCGGCGGCGGAGGTGCCTGAGCATACCGTCCGCTGTTGACACGACTTGAGAATCCAGTGTTGGGCCGGCCTTCTCGCATCGCACGTGGTCCGGTGGGTGCGCCTTTGACCCCGACACCAATAGGCTCCGTGGGTTGACCTGTCAAAACTGTCGCCGCACCGTAAGCGCCACTATTGAAGCCGCCACGAGGACCGAAATTGCCGTTGTATCCCATGTTCATATTCATGTTCATGTTCATGCTAGGATCGAACGGCGCGTTCATATACTGAGCCGGGAACTGGTTCATCATTCCTGCTGCGTATGGCATACCCATGCCATTACCCATCATTGACTGATCATAATCTTGCATATCTGCACCACCTGTGTCGACAGTTTGGATTGGTTTCAGCCCATCGTCCTGCGCCGGCTCTTTGGCACTCTCTCCTGTATCATCAGTATTGTTGGCAGCGGCCTGATTTGCATCAAGACCGGAGCCAGCACCATGATTCGTCGCCTCAACAGAAACTGCAACAGATTCGCTATTTTCCTTACCTTCTTCAGTTGGCTCTGTGGAGACCTTGTCCTGCTCGCCTTCGGCCTTGGCCTCAGTAGCAGTGTTGGCGTTTCCATCAGGCGACTGGCCGTCACGCTGCGTAGAAAGATTCGTGTCAGTTGGAGTGTTCCAAGATTTGCCAACCCGATTATTCGAGTTGGGCCGAGAATTCTGGTGAAAAGAACGTACGTTTTCCGAAGGACCGCCGTGGCTTGTCGGACGGGTATTCGCGCCCTGGAAACCAGGGCCAAAGCCTCCCTGGCTGCCATTCCTGTTGTTTCGTTGGGCATGTGCTCCCCCTTGATTGGCATGGAAACGATTCTGGTTCTGGTTTGGGAAATTATTCTTGGGGAACTGGTTCATCATCTCGGGATATGCTCCAGATTGATTATAGCCACCCATCTGATTGGGCCCGCTGAAGTTTCCATAGCCACCGCCCATCCCATTCCAACCATTACCAAAGCCGCCTCCATACTGCATCATGTTCATGGCAGACATGTCGTTCATGCCCATGTTTCCCCCAAAGTTGCCGTACATGCCGTTCATGCTGTTGAAGTCTGGATGAAAATTAGCAGTTGGTCGCTTGTCGGAATTTTCAGTGATACAACGTACCCATGGGATTCATACCATTCCAATTGCCGTTGGCCATCATGTTAGGCATGCCGTTCCAGCCCATACCGTTGTTGAAGCCACCTTGAGCAGGAAAACCGAAACCCATTTGACTTTGCATATTGTTCATCATGGGATTGGTGCCTGTCATGCCATTGACGCCGGGGGTATTGCCTGGCTCTTCCGTCGAGTCGTCCGCTGCTGCAGGCTCCGTGCCTTTCGATACATTTTGCGATGTTGTAGCCTCAGTGGGAGAATTGACCTGATATTGGTTAGTAAACGCGACAGATCGAGTTAAAGACACTTGATGTTCATTTGCATGTGCAGCAACGGGTTTTGCATTCTTCAAGAAATGGATGCTCTTCGCCTTGTTCTCTTCTTTTCCTCTTTCTTTACTGTACGATCCCACCATGCTAACACGCGAAGAACAAGATAGACATTGGTTACCTACTTCGTTCGGTTGAGCAGAGGCCGAGCCGGCGCGCTGAACAGTCTCTTCCGCATTCCCCACAGAGCCAGCGGCTTCTTCAGCGACACCATCCTCTGCCTTGGGTGGTTCCTCAATGCTGTCTACAGGCTTCTCTATGCTCTCGCTCACTGGCTGCACTTCGGGTGCGGCTGGTGTCGCCTCAACAGGAGGGGTAGCTGTCTGTGCCGCAGCCTTGGCCTCTTCCTTCTTCTTCTGTTTTTGCAGCCATACGCGCATGGTGTTGCGGAGAGACTTATTGATCGCACACGAATCTGCCTCGAGCGGCGAATGGTCACACGACGGACACGTGGTAGGAAACTGGAGATTTGCCTGGCCTAGAAAATGTTAGTGGGCGGCGATTCTGCTACAGCTTGGCGGTGAATTGTTCGTACATGATGAGCAGACTGATTTTGCGCAGCAAATCAGCTTGTATGAGTCGAAAGCTAGCTGATTGCATAGAGCGCAGAAGAAGTTCTTGGGAAAGGCAGACGTGGGGAGTGAGCTATGCATGTTAGTAACAGTGAAGAAGAAAGCAGCAGAGAAGCGCTTACAGAGCGAGGTCCTTCAGCTCATCGGCGAGCGGCGCCGCCTTGGGGTCTGCTGCCGAGTTTGCCATGGTGAGGTTGTGCAAGTTCGCGACTTTGGCTTAGGCTGCCGCGCAAACAACTGAGACTGCCGTCGGGCGCGGGGCTTTATTCCATTAAAAAGATAAGAGGGTAAAGAGGGGAGAAGAAAGATGAAGCAAGATGATTCCTCGGTGCAGGCACAGGCAAGCAGACGAGGGGGATTGCAGTCGCAGTCGCAGTCGTTGGTGTTTGCCGAGTGACAACTGCGTGCCGCGCGCAAGTTTTCCGGGCGTCGCGATCAACCGCCTGGTCCGTGCCCACAAACTCTAACCGTCGTCACGTGCTCACCGTCTTCCGCATACGGAAGAGCGCGTGCACGGTATTCCGCTTTCACCCTCTGTCTTGCCCTTCAGCTCGCATTCTAGCTGACCTGGAAGGGCCTTCTATACAACAATGACGCGTGTCCTGGTCAGCGAACGGGCATTGAGTTTTAACGGCTGTGGCGCTAATCGGTTGTGGCTTAGCTAGACCCTTGACGGCGTCATCACCATTGTCACTCGACATGGCGCAGACAGACAAAGAAAGCTCACTGACTTCATTTTTATGTATTTCTTGCCAAGATGATCCTGGGACAGATCTCCTACCTGGACTGCATCGCTTTCCTAGTCTTTCTTGCCCCTCAATTGCTGATTCAAATCGGCATCATCCCCCTTTTGACATGGCTTCTCCCCCAGCTACCTTTTCTTAGTGAGTACACACCATCGCTGTTCTCCAATGTACTGATTCTCATAGCTTTCAAAGTTCTTGTCATACCGATTCAATTCATCCATGAGAGATTTCTCGTCCCTCTTGAACAACGTGCACCATGGGTCAGGAAAGCAACACCATTCCAAGACCTGGTCATCCGCTTTGTTCGCTATGCCTTTGCCAATATGCCAGCCTTCCTCGGTAGAGTCTTTTTCTCGAAGCAAGTCTCACTGCCTTTCCTGAGATTCCGCATGTTGCGCCACGGCGTTGTTACTAGTCCTATTAGGTGGACTGATATCACGCGACTAAACTTTAAGGGCGTATGGATTGTGCATAACTGGCAAGAGCAGCCCGACTTGATTGTTTACTACTGTCATGGCGGTGGCTTCTCCATGGGAAGCAGTTACTTCTACATGGAATTTTTGCTTGCCTGGGTTGCACTACTCAAAGCCGCTGGATACCGGAATCCTGCCCTCTTTGCCCTGGAATACACCCTTGTGCCAGACGCCACATATCCTACTCAACTCCATGAAACCTTAGCCGGATATGAATATGTGCTTTCTTTGGCCCAGTCCTCCACTCGCATTGTCGTTGGTGGAGACTCGGCTGGCGCAACGTTGATGCTAAGCTTCCTGCTTTATCTATCCGAGCATACCGAGCTTCGACACCAAAAGCCCGGTCTTGCGATTATGATCAGCCCATGGGTCAGCATTGTATCGCCCGAGAATAGGAATACCGCGTCAGACTATCTCAACAGCTCCTCACTGGAACAATATGGCCGACAGTACATTGGAAGCAAAGTCTCGCCCGACGATGCCATGGTTTCACCTGGAAATTGTAAAGACATCCAGAAGTGGACGGAAGCTTCGCCAGAAAAGGGTTGGTACTTTTTGTACGGCAGCGAGGAGGTGCTCGGGCCAGAAACAAGGAATCTGATTGCATTGCTGGAGAAGACGGGGAAGGAGGTGGATACTTGGGAAGAAAAGGGCGGGATACACGCATGGCCGGTTGCTAGTCTCTACCTGGGTGAGACCAAGGAGGCGAGGCTGAGCGGCTTGAAGAGTGTTGTCGGTGCCATCAAGGAAAGGATTCATTAATAGCTTAATATAGATTCATGTACATTCAAAGGAAGATTCTATACAAGTTCCCGCGTTGCCCATCATCATGATTCGTTTCTCCTACTCCTACCAATTTACACTGTATGATTGACACAAGGCAAAATCCGGTCATGGAAACGTACCTGTCGACTTCGCGTCCCTTATGGCCCCCTATAGCAACGAGAAATAAAGCTCAAACAACCTCTGATAATGCGGAACCCCCCAGCCCTGTCAGGAGATCTCACCCCGGTGCCACCGGAAACCCTTGCGTCCCACACCCAAGATTACTCCCACTAACAACATCTCTAAAAACCTGAAGATTGCTATACAGCACATGGTGAGGAACACCAACAGTTCCCTTCCTAATCTTCCTCCGCTCATTCACAATACGCGCGAGCATCATACCCATGAGCATCATAGACACGTTTGTACCACCACTTGGCGATTGTGGCGCGCCCAGAAATGGTATGTTCAACAGCCGGGTCAAGTGTTCGACCGAGATTTCATGTGTGCAGTTGGACGTGTTTTCCCGGGCTTTGGAGACTCTCAATGGGTCTATTTCCCGTTTTGATAGACTTTGTGGTTGTCAAGCACCTGCTTGCCGCTGGGTCGTTGTAGATGAACTGTCGCAATTTCGGGCTCGTCAGAAAGGGAAAACTAGCTACTTTTTTGATGTCGGGATGTGTTATATTGTTGCTATAAATTCCTAAATCATGTAACCAGTTAATCACAGATTCCAATGTGTGTTGGGGAGGCCTGAATACTTCAATAATTTGTTCCGCAGTCCAGTACTGCAGAGGGTACCTAGCGTCCCTGTGCGTCATCAGTGTGTAGAGTTCCGTGATCAGTTATTAATCTGAGTAAGACGCTATAAGGATGATGTACATGTAATGAATTTGGTATCTAAGTGCAACAAAGAGCAGCTAACTGCACAGGAGAAATGAAGTCAAGAATCATCGCGCTTGTTGTCTGGTCCAGCCATAGAGGTCAAACCGATCGTTGGTGTAGTGTTGAAGCTCGAGATGGAAGCCCTGCTCTTTCCCTGCTCGCTGTAATCCCAGTGCCCTGGTAGCCTTTTGGGCGGCATCGAGGAGAGAATCGAAACCCTTGTCGTGTTTTGATAAGTTGTCGATGGTAAGCTGATCAGAGGTAGTCTGGTGGGGCTTTGGTGGAAGGGCGGTAAGGTGGGCCGGCGGATCCATGGGCTGATATGTGATTGGCTGTGTCACAACCACTACAGCATCTCCATCATCGTCCGTGCGCAGTGTAGTACTACTGTATGTATGAACAGCAATACATTGAAAAAAGCAGTTACAGCACATTTATAGATACGTTCCAAGTTATTCAAGGGCGAGTTCATTGTATGACGGGGGAATAATGGTATGAGTAGGAAGGAAGACTAGACTCACGGGTAGGTAATTTCTTCGTGAACAGTGTGTGCAGCCATCTTTGTTAGAGTCAAGGATGTGATTTGAGGATTTCCAGGGACGATAGAGCAGGTGTTAAGCATATCTTGTGTGAAATCTATATGGAGATACAAGTTTGAACAGGAAATGGACATGTACTTATAATGCCCCAGAGAGATTATTTTTGACTGATGGGAACGACATCGTATAGATGCTCGTCATACCTCCGTGGTAAAGAGGGCCAATAGGAGGCCAGTAAGAGGACTGCGGTGCCAACTAATCTCCCTTTCGCCGTCGCTGCGATAGGGATCTGTGGTTAGCTCCCTCCAGGCACATGTGGAGTCAAGTATCGGTATCTACATACACAGCGCTACTGCATGTCAACGTAGGGACACTTGGACACAATGTGGATCTCAGACAGCTTCTCGCATGGCTCCGGAGGTCATCGCGCGACCATGACCATGACGGCGTGTGTTGTGTATGGCCAGTCGAAGTGATACCCTTGCCGCCTCCGACCACACCCTTGCCGCAACCCCCCCCCCCCCCCCAAAAGACACCGGCATCTTACTGTTGTGGCAAACAATTAAATTTCCAAATATGGGTAGCGCGGGACGCGGCTGTCGTCTTGGCCCCAACCAGGCCAAATCTTGCAGGGCTCTTCGGTTGCCTACTTTTTGCCTGTTGGCTGCCTAATTGCCTGGTTGGCGCAAAAGAACCGCTAAAGAGGGATATATAAACGATCCCCACAGGTTCATTGTCGCTCGCCCCACTACTACTACTTAGTAGGTGTCTCTCGTCGCAATCGTTTACTCTTCCACCCTTTTTTATTGCGCCCTTCGCCTAGCATCCACATTACGCATACCTGAGCTGCTCATTACTTGTTTGACAGCGACAAGTTCACCCAAGTCACCGTTGTCGGACCTACGTTCCTCCGCCGGAACCTCTACGTAGAGTCCGAGTCTGGCAACATTACTACGGATCGCAGTGTTAACGATGCCACCAGCGCACTCATCGAATCCCACACACTACCCAAGACATCGCGTCAGCCGTTCAGTACACCAGTCTCAGTTCCAAAGCTGCCGAAAGACTTGACATGTAGTGCATGGCTGACATGGTGGTCACATATTCCTATAATGATCAGATCTAAACCTGGCGTCGTTCCTGTGGCAGCGATACGAAGAGCAAAGACAAGCGCAGTGTGCAAGGGCTGACTTTCTAATGAAATGGATGATATTGGTCTGTCTTTAGGGTGGGTTGAGACAACGTTAACGTTCATGCAAGCAAACCACACGACTAGCTACTGGATTCGTCATCGCAGAACAAAATAGCTATTTTCGCATGATACATGTTGTGGTGGTGAGGGTATAGTATCGAATCTATTGTGACATTTGTACAACAATCTCACTAAACATTCATTGCTAGCGATAGACTCAACGGCAAAATTTGATGCGAAAGCATTATCGGCAGAATATTCTACATCTATTGAGATACAAGGCGTTTGATTCCGCGGTCTAAGCTTGTCCGTTTCTCCATCCGGCGATGTCAGCGTCTCCTTAGCTTTGGCGGACATCCTATACTTAGCTCAGCAGCTCAGCAGCTCCACCAGATCCATCATTGTGTGTTTTGACCACACGTATGCTTCAGCTGCTTTTCTTAGTTCCGGCATTGCCCCTTAGTAAGTTTTGAATCGGCAGTCTACCATCTAGTCCATCCAATTATCGAGTATGTTTATACGTCCAATTATTCTCGCCGTTTCTTCCGATACTACTGGCTGTGGATCAATGGGAGTTTTCTGGGGAACACCAGGGCCGCGTTTTTCATTATTTGGGCTCATTTTTCGATCACTATTCAAGAGCCGAATCTTTGTAGTGATGTGCAACGAAATTCGTCAAGACTTGTACGAGGCAGACAAATGGAAGGATGGGCGTGTCTTCTTTTCTCGCCGATGATAGATCCAATCAGGTAACCTGCTTACTTGCTGTTAATTTCCATTCTGTTCCAAATCAATCGACTTCGTCGGCGTAATGCAATAGGTAAGTGTCATTCGACTTCGTTGATTTGCGTTGTTTGACAATACCTCTAGTGCTTACGTTTGTGCAGCAATATAACTTCCGTGCCATTTCCCTTGATTCACTAGATTTTGAAGAGTACAACTATGATTTTCACCACAATATCAATGTGGTAAAGTATGAAGAAATATTTACTCTTAATAGACTGGGTGTAGAGATTTGTTTGAACACTAACTCGTCTTTGGAAATCATGGGGCCCAGTAACTCATGTCCGTGCAACAGACTCAAGGTTAAGCCCAGCAATGATCTTACAGGTGCAAAGTGACTACAAAGGTTATATTTCATTAAGTCAAAACTTTGATAGGAGGATTAGTCGGACAAATCAGCGGATACAGGGATTTGGTAACACGACCACTGTCGAATCCACTAATCAAATTCATAGCTACAGTGACTTGCCGCCTATTTGCGCTCCGCTGGGACGATACATGCACTGCGCTCATACCAGAGGCGGCATCGCACGAAACGCTTCCTCATAGCATGCGGAAGTATTTCCTCCAGCGGCCAATGCTTCATCAGTAGATAAAGATTGATAGCTACCCTGAACTTTTCCCGAATCACATTCAAAAACACCTTCTTCCCTCAACAAACGCTTTACCCAACCACCTATCGTGAAGCTCCTCGCCATCCTTTCCGCACTCTGCGCTACCTCTACCGCAATCCTGATCCAACACGGAGACGGATCCTTGGTCAGATACGAAGAAGGCGCTCTAATTAACAGAGTAGATTATCCTGACTGTTGTAAACTTCCTGTGGGTAGTTTCGATCCCTGCAAGTGTTCGACTGGCTGTGAACCCCCGGATGGACAATCCTGCAATGTAAGTACAGATTACAACGTAGGTTATGGTTTGAAAGGGATGCTGATGTCTTGAATCAGCCTTACTGCTGCCGTTAAAGCGGTGAGTGATCGAATCTGTGCCGGAAAATGGGATATCGGCTATGAGAATATTACACCATGACTCAGGATCGACAGTTCGGAAGTGGCCTTTCTCTGATGTAAAACTTGGGGGTGTTGGTATTGTGGTATAGTAGTAGTAGTAGTAGTAGTAGTAGTAGTGCGTGAGGAAGTTACAGGTCAAAAATGGGGATTTCTACTTGGCGCAGATGGTATTTCCTTCTTCAATCGATCCTACCGTGGCGATCAATTTAAATAGCTGATTAACTTTTCAATCATGGGCCTCACCTTCGGGCTTTTGGAGAACGATATCTTGTTCCCCCCACAACATACAATGCACTGCTTCTTTACTCGAGTTCGTACGCCTTCTCACAAGACTCTGATTTCCCATCGAAAAAAACAACAACATCCATGTCGCACAGCATAAACATCTCAACCAGCCATTTCCATCACTCAACTACCCCAGCCCTTTCTCTGGGTTGAATTTCCACATTAAGTGCTCTCTTCTCCCAAAACATAAAATTATTCTGCAACCCAAAATCACCAACCTGCTCAGCTGCCTCTAAATTAAACCTGAAAAACAGCCGTGCCAACGTCAAGCGCATGATTGCCCACGCGAGCTTTTGCCCCATGCACTTGTGGCGTCCGAGTAGGAACGGCACAAACGCATCGATGCGATCAGAAGGATACGGTGAGTTAGTTAGAAAGCGTTCTGGGACGAACAGATCGGGATCGGTAAAGTTTAAGGTGGAGCGGAAGGTCGAGTATTGGTTTACGGAGACGAAAGTCTATGCTGTGTTAGTGGTGGAATATTATATGGTGTTTTTTTTGGGGGGGAACTTACATTGCCTGGTATGTATTGACCACAGATAATCTCACCTTCTGTCGGAGTGATGCGAGGTAGACCCACTGCTACTGGGGGACCCATTCGGATGCCCTCTTGGATCACGGCATCGAGATAATCCAGCTTACCCACACTGGTAATGCTGATGTCTTGTTCGCTCCTGAAATTCTCGCGGATCTCTGTTACGACTTTCGTCAAAGCAGCTGAGTTTTGCAGAAGTTGCGTAAGTATCGCTGTAAGCGAAGTGCTCGTAGTCTCACTCCCCGCAAAAATTATCACAGTCATGTTCGTTTCAATCTCTTCATCTGGAATCTTTGTCTCCCCCTTGTCTTGATTGTACGCCAGGATCGAGCCTACGTAGTCCTGGGTCTTTTCCTTATGCTCCATCGCGAGACGCTGCATGAACTTCGCATGAGCCAGTTCCTTATGGTATTTCATCTTCTCCATGATCCCCCTTGGCATAGCGAGTTTCAGCAGTTTATTCAGAGGGCGAAAGAAGTTGATGGAAGCCATGAGCGCGATGCCTTTGCCGAAACTGCAACTGATTTCGACCCAGGGGTGTGCACGCCCGGCTGCTACGCTGCCAAAGGATTCGCCGAAAGAGAGGATGCCCGAGATATCGAAAGTCAGCCAGTTGAACCAATCTGTGAAGTTTACAATGGCGGATCCGCCGCCCTGCTTAGTTGCTTCGCTGAGCTTCTGTATCATGGTTTCAACAAGACCTTCAAGTAAAGGTGCATGTTCGGTGATCGCATGCTCGGTAAACGCCCTAGTAAGTGCTCTGCGATTTCGCAAATGCGTTGCTTCATCCGTACTGACAATGCTAATAGGACGATGTTCTTCTTCTTGACCAGCCCACACACGGTTCTTTGGGATGTTGCGATTACCGTAGATGTCCTTCCAGGCTTCGGGGTCGATGTAAGACAGCTCATCAGGAGCGACTCGCACGACTGGGCCGTATTGCTGGTGAAACTGGGCGAGCTTGAGGTGGTACGTCCCTGATTGCATTGAATCGGACCAGGCGAGGCGAGTGGCAGCCCACCATCTTGGTCCGGGGTGGTGTCGGAGTGGGTGTAGGAAGATGTTATACAGTATCCTGAACAGAATCTGGGAATGGTAAGTAAGATTCTTCCCTATTTAGATATTTTTTAGAGTTTAGTAACTTACCGAAGAGGTTACACCAAATGCACCAAAAGCTAGAAGATTCAGAATATGGCTCATGGTGAACGTACGACT